AACTTCCGCCACAAGCTTCTCATGCCTCGACAGTCGCAGGTGCTCCGCCCGCATCTCCACTCGGCGCCGATGGCTCTCTCGGCGCCGTGTCGCAGAGCGCCTTGTCCGCCTTCCCTCACGCCTTCGGCCCAATGCCGCCGATGCCACGAGACCCGACAGTCAACCCGAAGCTGACCCGCCTCCGACGCGCCTGTGACATGTGCTCCCAGCGCAAGGTCAAGTGTGACGAGTCCGGTCCGCCGTGTAGGCCATGCTCCGAGCTCAACGTCGAATGCACCTTCAACCGAGAGCTGAAGAGGCGAGGGCCCCCGAACAAGCATGCCGAGGCTGCCAGGGCCGCTCGAAGGCAGAGAATCGAGCCTGGTATGGGTGGCTCGCCCACCACGGCCGCCTTCACCTCATATGGAGCTGCCGTTACACCCTCGCCTTCGCCGCATAACGCTGCGCAGGCTCTGGTTTCGATAGCAGAAGGACCGGGTCGTTTGGATGCAGAGGCCATCGCACCCTTACCCATTCTCGAACTCTTGATCGACGACTTCTTCACCTATATTCACCCGCTCGCCCCATTCCCCCATGAGCCGACTTTCAGACACTCCTTTGCAAATAGAGAGGATAGAACGAATCCCGAGTTTCTTGGTCTGCTGTCCTCCATGATAGCCTCTCTGGTGTCCTCCTTTCCCCGGAGTGCCAGACAGCATCTCAAGACCCAGCACAGCACCCACCTCTTTCCGAGAGCGATAGTCATGATTGAGAGATGTCGAGATATCGCCCTCGATACGCGGGGTCCGCGGTGGGCACTGAAGCAGAAAACGTTGGATGATGCCGCTACCAGCTACTTTCTTGGGCTCGCGGCAGGCTATACTTTCCAAGTCCCTCGCTTCCGCTACTTCATGTCCGAGTGTCTGTCTCTCATACGGGAGCTTGGATTCCACCGACCCAAGCATCCCAATGAGCTCCCAACTTTTGGCAATGATAACTGCTCGCCCGATCCTCTACCTTTCCACCATATCAAGGACCAGATCGGCAAGCGCATCTTTTGGTGTCTGTTGCTCGGCGTCAGGTGAGTTCCCTGTCTTCTGTCATGTTAGTCCACATACATATTCACTCACACACATCATAGGTCCTTCTCACAACTAGGCGCCTCTCATGCCGACTTGGTCATCGCCCCGTCGACCCCCGGACTGCCATATCCTGCCCTGCCCGAGAACGTCGATGATCTTTACATCATGGCCAATGAAATCGTGTATCCGCCCGAAAGCTCGGTCACTCTCCTTACTGGTTTTCGATTTGCCGTCGACATCTACACTACCATGAACGCCATTGTCAGCGTTGAGCTCGTTTACGGCATGAGCACCCTTCCGTGGTCCGATCAGAGGTCCCTGCTCAGAGACGCTCTCATCGCCGCCAAGGACATCATCGACCGGCTCCCGCCTGAACTTCAGCTCAGTGCTTCTCATGAGCAGTCCAGCGGGTTCGGCACCCTTGAAGATGCCGACCTCCAATACGTGCCTCCCGCGTACCCCAGCAGCCAGCCTCCCAACGATGTTCGAAACGTGATCAAGAATCACCCCCAACGCCGGCGCCAGCTTCAATACGAGATTCAAAAGGCCAACATCTACATTTCTCAGCTGGCTACGCGTTCGTTCTATGTGGAGCTGTACTTCAACTTGCGCGACGTCCACATGTCCGACCCCAACAAAGAAGAGCAAGTTGGGGACAGCGCCGAGGCACAAGCTGCCAAGGGAGCCGAGGATGCAGAGGCGGCCCGCGTCTTTGAGCTGATGACGGCAGAGCGGGAGCTCATCGTGCAAAATCTACTCCACGTGCTGGGCTCCATTTCACAGCGTAACCTCGAGCCTAACGGCGGTTCGCTCATCAACAAGGTTCGACAGGTTGCTTCGACTCTCCTCAATGACGCGCCGGAGCGGAAAGGCCCGGTAGCTATGAAGTCGGAGGAAGCGCTCGTGAAGCTCATTGACGTCCTTCTCAAGCTCGAAGGAACAGGGCCAAGCGGTAGCAACATGGCTGGAGAGAACATGACACCGCAGGATGAAGAAGAGGAGATGCGAAACTGGGCTCATTTGCGTGATTATCAACAGCGCTTTGCTGCTCACGGTGGTTTTGCAGGAAATATTTGACAAGTAAGGTAGCTATGGAGTCTACTCGCGCGAGCGGCAGTGGCATCAATTAGGGATGTCTCAATGGTTCAAGTATAGGAAATTCTCAATCTGGGGGCAACGAAATGGGTAAAAGTCACTCTCGTCTATAAAGTTGCTTCATAGGCGAGGCGGAGAGAAGGAAGGGTACCTAATCCCGAGGAAGTGGGACAGGCAACGGGATAATAATGATACCAGATCATTCTCATCACATCATCGAGAGTCCTCTTTCATCCCTCTTCACGCTGCAAGCATGGGATGAATACTAGGTGACTTTGCAGTGAGGGGAGTTGGAATGCAAGACAGTCCAATCAAAGGAATCGTTATTCCAGACCAAAGGCGCAACCTGCGGGAGGCCGTCCTTCTAGGCACAGGGTACCTTGGATCCCCTAAGAACTTTCCGGATGGAGGCCCAAGATTGAAGCTTTTGCCAGTAGAATCATTTTCATCTCGGAAATATCTAGAGAAAGCTCCTGCCAAAGACTAGGTACTTGCCTTCCCCTGGAAGAGAGTAGCTTCGCATCTCCCCAAATCCTGACCTCTGGGCTCCCTCAGATCTTCCAGCCATCAGAATCTTTCAACAACGACACAACCATCCTCAAGTCCTGATAAATCAATTCTATTGCAGCAGTCATACCAATGTGTCTTCGTCAGGATCTTATCAAGCCCATGGTGGTTGATACCACCAAAGGCCACGACCACACGCACACCGTCGTCTTTCTCCATCGCTTCCCCGAAACCGCCTCCGAGGAGGAGCTTAGTCGAAAGGTCCTGTCCGAGAAGTTGACGATGAACCACAAGACCCTCCGCGAACAGTTTCCCTCGGTCCGCTGGGTCTTTCCCTACGCCAAAGCACACGCGCGTCCTTGGAACAATCTCACGCCCGAAGATAGAGCTGCAGTCGGGATGAACGTAGGCAGTCTCCCCTACATCGCCCAAATCATGCTCCAGGAAGCAGACAAGGTTGGCGGTCTTGACCGCATCATCCTCGGTGGAATGGGACAGACTGCCGAGGCAGCTCACGATGCCATGACGTCCTTTCCCGAGTGTAAGATGGATGCCTACGATAATGCCGACGGCATGTCGTCGTTCCTTCAGAAGACCTTCCACGCCAACTGCACTAGTCTCGAGCAGCTGAAGCTCGCTGGTTTCGTGGGCATGCACGCCCAGGACGCTGAGATAACGTCCGACGTCAGAAGCATGGCCGTCTTGTCCAAGGAACTATCCACAATGAAGAAGAAGATCAACGCTACCCTCGTCGCGCAGACCCCCCATAAGTTCATCAACGGCGGCTACAAGATCCAGACCAAAACTTGGGACGGCAGCCGCATCGACGATTTCGCTAGCTTTCTCGAGGCCATGGGCGTGCAACGCACTCTCGATACCAAAAAGACGTGCACCGAGACGCTCATTCCGAAGAACCGAGAACTGGCCAAGAAGTGGGATCCTCGGGATACTCTCAGCGACGCCCAGAGATACGCTCAAGAGATTCTGGATCAGAAGAAGGAGAACGAGGAGATCAAGCGGAAGCTGCTCATTCGCATCGAAGCTGACAAGGTCGAGCGCAAGATCAAAGATGCACGCGAGAAGGCGAACCGAGGCAAGGTCAACAGTAAGAATAACTGGCTGAAGCCGGCGGATTCTGTCAATGTTCTCGGCGGAGTTGGTTACCGCCCCAATCTCAATCCTGAAGAGGATGAGGCCGAGGTACGAAAGCCGTCACCCAGCAAGTCCAAGTAAGTTAACAAAGAGCAACCCAGCGATAAGCAGCCCAGCAGCGACGCATTCAACCTCATCCAAAACGTCTACCCCATCGTTCCCAAGAGGGACAGCAAAGCGAAGTCATTTGCATAAACACTAGATAGTCTATGTCATCTACGTTATCCAATCCTTCCGTCAGATACCTCGTGTACTCTGGGCAGTGTGACGTGAACCATAGATGCTTGTGCTCGTCGCTCTCTCCTAATCAATGGCCGCCTCTGCTTCTCCCATGTCTTGATTTGTGTGTTTCGTAGGAGTTTCAGACAAAAGCTACGAAAAAGAAGGAAACCAAAAAAATATATATAGATGATTCCACGGGGTGCAGCCAGCTAATTATCGACGGGAAGGTCAAGGTCCACCATAACCCTAGGGGCATCTCATTAGCAATAACGATGATCAGATTTCATACCCCGTAGGCCACATAACTAGGTTTTCAGTCCCTTAAGACCCGAGGGAAACTCCAAATAAATCCAAATTCAAACGCTTCTCCAGCTTCTCGCCATTAGGTAGCCTGTCCTTGGTCCCGTTGTCTCCCGAGCAGCAGTGTATTCGCACTTGAATCCTCCCTCGGAGAAGACTACTAATACGTGGGAAAGAAGGATCGAGCCCTTTAACGGGAATTTCACAACCCCGATTCGCTGGCTGAACCTAAGACCAGGAGCAATTAGAGAAAGACGACCCGCGAGATTGAATAAGATTTGTCAAAGGGGAGAGGCGGCCGCGGCCTAGGTGGTAAGAATCTTCGCCTATCTCATGTTTTATAGTTGGATTCAGGTGATTCTAGTATATATCCAACAGGGTGTGTCCTCCCGTTCTCCTGCCGTAGCAGCGGGTATGGCGGCCGAAGAAGAGAGCCGCGCTCAAAGAAAAGTCCGATACTACGGAAGTTACAAGCTTTCAAGAGAGAAGTTGACTCGGATGGACCAAGATGCCTGATGCCTAGGTTAGTTTCGGGGCTCGCAGTATCTGCCACTTGATAATCACGAGGTTTTGCAAGTATGGACGATTGCGGCATGAAGGACTCATATACCTGCACAGATATTTACATGTGTAGATGAAGCTCGTCTAGACTCTTCCCATCTTCTACATCTCAACCAAACTCTCTTCCGTGGCCTTGATCTGCAGTGCCAAGAGCCGCGAATAAGAGCGACACAGGGCGAGATTCCCACCCATGTAGTAGAACCGCGGATGACCACTGCTCCTCCAGATCTGCCCGAGGTTAGTTGCCTGTTCAAATTTGTGGTAAACATCAGATAACTCACAGAATTGATCTCCCCTTGCTCATCAAGATCCCAACACTCCTTGACCCGATCGGCCACCTTGTCCCCTAGGATATTACGTGTGCTAGACCTCATCCCATCATACCCCGTCGCCAGCACAACAATGTCGGCATCCAAAGTCGTACCGTCCGCCAGCGCCAGACCAGTGGGCGTGAAGCCGGTGATACCCCCAGGGCTATGGTGAACCTTGACCTTCCCATCGACAATCAGCTGACTACAGCCGACATCAATGTAATATCCTCCGCCGCGAGTGATGTACTTGCGGTAGATACCGCTTCCATCCGGCCCAAAGTCAAGCTTGAACCCCGCCTTGCTCAGACCGTCCAACAAGCCTTGGTCAACTGCGGTGATGGCCTTGATACCGTGTGTACTCAGCGCGAATTGCACGGGGATCGGGACGCTCTGCGCAACGATGTCGCAGTCTTCGGTCGGTGGCCCGCCTTCTTCGTACATTCCCTTGTGCATTACAAAGATTCCCTTATTCGCTGTAATGACATAGGTGCCGCCCCTTTGGATCATCGTCACATGTGCTGCGCCATTTTCATAAAAGTTTTGGCAGATGTCGTGACTCGAGTTGCCAGAGCCTACGACGAGGACCTTCTTTTTGGAGAGATTGTCGACGAGGGAGGCGTCTTGGTGTTGGCTGCCGTGGTACACTACACCCTTGAAGTCGTCCTGTCCGGGGAATGTGGGCGTGATGGGATCACCGGCCTGACCTGTCGCCAGAACGATGTGCCGAGGCTTGAGGGTGCGGAGGGTGCCGTCTGTCCGACGAAGTTTGACGGTCCATATCTTTTCTTGCTCGTTGTAACTCGTCTCCTCGATGTTGGTGCTGGTCCAGATGTTGAGTTCCATCATTTTCGCGTAGGACTCTAGCCAGTCTGCCAGTTTGTCCTTTGGCATGAACTGAGGCCAGTTTCCGGGAAATGGGATGAAGGGGAGGTGGCAGTACTGAATCGGATCATGGGTCATGAGAGTCTGCACATAAGATGAGTTTTCAGGTCAGCATTCGTCTCATCACGCTCCAGCGGTTTTGGTCAAGACACCAGAAAGACTGACCCTGTATCGCTTGCGCCAGCTGTCCCCAACGTGCTCATTGCGATCTATCAGCAAAGTAGGAAGACCAAGATTTTGTAGACGAACGCCAATGTTGAGCCCAGCATGACCTAACAAGACACATGTCAGCAACCCAGGACCATCGCAGCATCGAGGATATGCAACTCACCAGCGCCAATGACCAACACAGTAGGGTCTTCATCGACGAATTCCACCTGTCGTTCGCGTCTCTCTTTCCAATTGCCCCCCTTGGGATCTACATGACCGGTAGGCCTGCTGACTCCCATTTTCTCCTCGAACCCCTTCAGTTCTAGGAGTGTAAAGTTGATCATGAAGGCTTTCCAGGTGTCATCCGCTTCCAATGCTAGCCTCACCATACCCTTGCCTCGGCCAACGTTGGACTCAAAGTCAAACATGCTCTCCACCCAGTGAACACCAGGCGCAGGGTCTCCAAAAGACGGCTGGAAGGCGCCCTTCTCCCGGGGGACGATCTGGCGGAGACCGGCCCGGGGCTGATTTTCCTTGAAAAATGCCGTGATCTCGTCCAGGCCATTGATGGTTCTAAAGTCCCATGAGAAACTGAGAAAGTCTCTGATCCAAGCATCTTCGCGGAAGACGGTCGATAGGCCGTCTTTTACGTTGTTGGTGAGCACTTTCTCAAACGCCTGTGTCCAAGTTTTGATGATTTCTCGTGCATTTTCCGGTGATTTTGAAGTAGGTTCCCTGAGGGTGGGGAGTTTGATGATGTAGTCGTTCTTCGCCATAATGGGCCTATTCCTGTTCTTGTATTATCAAGCTATTCGCTGTCTATACCGGTATAAATACCATGGTAAACTTGGATGACGATGTTGGGCTTTAAATGGGAGCTGACCGCGATCGGACAACATTAGTCCGCACCGCTGGGGTAGCTTTGGCGATCGGCTTCAAAGTTCACAGCTTCATGCAGGATCCTGGATTCTGATTGCCGAGACTAAAAAAACACGGCCCGCTGTCGCCTGCATCATGTCGGTCGATGTACACGTCCAACGCATCGATCATGGCCAATTACATGGAGAAGCCATCAAGAACCCAATGGGCCGTGTCAGATATCAGCTACCCCTCCTCGACAGCCCTAACATGACCCAACTCCAAATCCACTTGTAAATGTTAGCTGGAGCTGTTGGGAGCACCAAAGGGCTCGCTGCATGATGGCGCGACACGGCCCGTTGGGGCGTGAGGGGTCACTCGGTCTCGCTGATACCCTCGTGCAATTCTTTTCTTCTTTTTTCTTCTTCTTTTTTTCAATCATTCAGAAGGACCGTGTCGATGTTTTGAGGCAGGCAATTGATCTCGCCGTTCGATGAGCACCATCAGGTTGATGATCCGGAGACAGAGTGAAGCCAGATTCGTGATGTGAGATGAGATGCGCTCTTCACTTCCGACCATTTATCTCAATGACAAGCCAATACGTCACTGGATGAGGGCTGCCTCGGACGACACTCGTCCGATGGTACTGAAGTACTTTAGGTGAGGAGAAACGCCTCCCAAACATCCGGTACGTGGGTTTAATTCAGATTGAAGAAGAAAACAGCTGCTCGATATAAATCATCACTTATCTCCACGAAATTGAGAAGAAGTATTACCAAACTCACGGGCCCATCTTCAGTTTCATCCTCTTGATCATCGTATAATCTCACGACGACATAAACATTTGTACTCAACATGGCGACAGCGGCAATGCAAAACCCGTCCTGGTTTCTGTACGGCCCAGGTTCAGCCAAGATCGTTGACCGGCCTACTCCCACTCTTGAGAACAAATTAAATGTGATGGTTCGGGTAAATTTTGTTGGTGTATGCGGGAGTGATGTAAGTCCGCCATCCTTTCAGGCCAATTGACTTGACGTTGATCGATCTCTACCAGGTGCACTTCTGGAAAGAAGGAGGATTTCAGCGCAAAGTAAGCGACGAGAAGCCCATTGTCATGGGTCATGAAGCCTCCGGTACCATCGAAGCAGTCGGTTCCGCCGTCACCAATGTCAAAGTAGGCGACAAGGTAGCGATCGAGCCAGGGGTCCCCTGCCGGCGCTGCTCGGCAGCCTGCAAGAGAGGCGAATATAATTTGTGCGTCTCGATGAGGTTCTTCGCTGACCCTCCGGACTCCCACGGGGCCTTGACAAAGTATCTCGTCATGCCGGAGGATTTTGTCTACAAGGTCCCTGACGAGGTGAGCCTCCAGGAGGCGGTTCTCGTGGAACCAACCGCTGTTGCCGTCCACGCGACACGTCTGGCTGAGATCAAGTATGGACAAGATGTCGTCGTGACGGGGTGTGGGACGATCGGGTTGCTCTGCGCAGCTGTGGCCAAGGCCTTTGGCGCCCGACGCGTCATCTTGGTTGATATCATCCAGGCAAAGCTTGACTTTGCGCACAAGTTCCTCGACTGTGAGACATTCCTGGTTGAGCCTGGGACAACGAGTGAAGATGTTGCTGTGAAGCTGCTAGAGACGATGGGTATTACCGACGGAGTGGACGCCGTCATTGAGGCGTCGGGAGCACAGTCGTCAATCCAGACGGGGATCTTTCTGCTCAAGAGCGGCGGCAGTTACGTCCAGGCTGGGTTGGGTAAAGCCAAGCCTGAAGTTCCCATGTTGGTTCTGTCCGAAAAGGAACTCAAAGTCCGAGGATGTTTTCGATACGCCTCTGGTGATTATGAGTTGGCTTTGTCGCTTATCGCGGAGGGCAAGGTGAAGCCTAAAGCGATGCTGTCGAGTGTGACCCCCTTCGAGACGGCCACTCTGGCCTGGGACAAGACTGCAAGGGGCGAAGGAGTTAAGAATATCATTGAAGGCGTTAGAGATTGAGAGAAGCCCTTGCTTGAGTCTGTGTAAATGTCTTCGAGAGCTTCGATCTCATACGATGTGTGCCGCGTTACCTTTATGATTTAATATATCACGGGTTCTCACATTTGCATTTGAGGTTTGGGACCCAAAGAATACTGCGTTTAATACTGGTAGGATTTTATTCCGTCAATTGAAGCAAGTTCGCAATGCTGATCTTTCGGCACCGAGTCCATGAAACTCTGGTCACCACCCTCCCCCTCGGTCCTCGAGTACATGTAGCCATTTTAGCCCACGCCTGCCTTGATTGTCAGTACTGAAACTTTTGTCGCCAATTTAGCTTTGGACGAATTACATCAGTTTAAAATAGCAACCCGGGCATTGCCAATTACCCAAGCTGTTCTTTCGCCTCTGTGAATGCGATGCTCATCTTATGGTAGTCACCCGGAGCCTTCCTTTTCCGGCTGTCTTCTTCTCATAACCCATAATAGGACAATGATTGACGTGCTGCGCTTTCCAAAGCGTATTCTCACAGGAATATGTAGGATACAGAGAGAACTAGCAGTAACAATATAGTCAAGAAAATCAGCAGCAGCAGTAGTAGTGATAGTAAGAATAGAGCTGAGGTATTGGGCGGTGAAATACTTTATTGTGTCACCCACATGGCTTACTGAACTCGCTTTGAACATGGAATGCCACCCTCTATGCCGAATCCGCGTACTCCCAGATGTGCTTCTCTATAAAGTCAAGTGCCTTCATGTCCTCGTTTTCCTTCTTGATCTCCAATACCCGCTTCTTATACTTGTCGTTGGCAAGCACCTCCTCTACTCCTCCTGCAATTTGTTGAGACGTCGGGCGACCAGTCTTGAGATTAACAGCTACACCCGTCCATTGGCCCCTCATTGCGATCTCTGGCTTGTCTTCTGTATCGCCTCCGAGCACCATAGGCACGCCGTTCACGATCCCGTGCAGGAAGCCTCCATAACCAGCATTCAAGACCCAAACATCTGCATGCTTGAGCAGGGCGTCATACGAGAGGAAGTCGATGACCTTGGTGTTGGCCGGAATCGTGAGCTCCTCGGGAAGTGTCGCGCCCTTGACACCCAAGATGGCAACGAGAATGATATCGTCGCGGTGAGCCAGACCTTGTATCGTGGGGATGATGAGATCCGTGTAGTTGATAGCAATGGTACCCTGAGCAACTCCCACAACCTTCTTGTTTCCGGCCGTGATTTCATCCCACCATTCTGGGTACTTGTAGTTCGGGTCGATGGGCTTGGGCGGTAAACATCCCGCGTACTTGATGACATCGGGGAGATCCGATCTAGGGTACTCGAGGCTGGGCGAGCACATTTGCAGGGTAACGTCATAGCTGGTTTGCCATGATTCGAACAAGGCTGGTGGCAGCTCACGTGTACCGCCGAGCGCCTTGACGACGTCGTTGTACTCCTTTGCTGCCGCACCAAAGGGGCCCACCGGGCTAAAAAACATCTCATTGAGGAGCTTGTTCCGCCCGCGGCCCGACTCGGTCGAGTCGGGAGGCAGACCGGGTCCGAACGGCGCGGTATCAATGCTCGTGGTCACGACAGGGATAATGTTGATGTCGACGACGGGCGGTCTCGTAGTGTAGCCCTTGGGTAGAGGCGTGCCGTACATCATAGGGGCAAGACCCATGTAGAATGTCTCGTGGACAATAACGACTTGCTTGTCGGGATGCTCGACACGGATCTTCTCGAGGGTTTCCATCAGGACATGGAAGTGAGGCGTCACAGCCCTAATGAAGATGTTGCTTAGGTCGAACATGAGGCGGGGTATGCCAACAGGAACTTTTTCGCGAATGGCTTGCTCGTCGGGATTCAACATGGGCGGAATGCTAACATGCTGGGCACCGATGCGCTTGACTTGGGGGTGGAATTCTTCGCCGGCGATGAATGTGCCTTCGAAACCGCGTTGGATCATCTCATCAGCGACCTGAAGGAGGGGATATGTGTGTCCTGTTGCTGGCGCCGCGCAGAAGAGAAGGTAAGGCCGCTTCTTGTTGCCGTCGCTGACACCATTGTTGGCCGCTGCTTCGGCAGCTTGAGCTACAGAGTCTGCTGACAGTGTCATGATCTCAGATACTTTGTCTCTTTCAAGAGATCCTTGGTGTGAGTAGATAGATGCTCGAATCGTTACTTCAAATGCAGAGAGAAGAATGACATCAAGATGGGCGGCAGCACCCAGTGATTTATACATGTATGAATAAGAGAACCTCTAGTGAAGACGCAGTACGCGGGGAGCTCCAACTCGATGCGGTCACTCATCTCGGTGAGATTTTCACCCGTACGCGCGCCGTTGGGTCGAATAGTCGCCGGCTTCATTGCGTTCAAGGCTGCATCGGGCCGCATTGCGAAAGGGAAATCTGACAGCAGATTTTAGTACGTCAAACGGTCCTGTCTTACCTGTCTCTACGCCTCAAGGTCGTTGTATGGAGCCATCAAAGAGCCAGTCAGCATGCACTAGTCGTATATCGTAGACCAGTGTGCGTAAGGCAGCGAGTCATTGTGAGATGCCGTACAACCTATGTGTCCATGTGAAGAGGAGTCGAACGGGAATATTGTATGGTCTTACCGGCGGTATTGAAGCCCATTGGTGTCATACTGTCATTATCGACGATCCATGTCTGTAAAGCGCGTTGAGAAAGGACACTGCAGGATCAGGGTCCTTGCAGATAAGTCTCAGCCCGTCAGCGCGACGTCTAGAACGAACGAGCTAGTGCGGCCGTGGATTGAGGCTAACGGTGCTAGTATCGTGGATGATGTAAGTCGGCGGATTGGCTTCGTTCTGTAGCTTCAAGCTCCAGTCTCACGGTTATCGAGTGCCGAGCCTAGAACCATCGCCGGAAAGGTCCTGACATGGCAGATCAGCTTCCCTTGAGAATGCTCTTAGCCACCTGAGATCATCGGATGACATGGCCTGAGGGGCATCTGCCACCACCGGTAGAGAGTCTACCAGCATAGAGGGACCAGGCAGGATAAGTGCTCAAGAGAAAACGTTCATATGTGAGATGGGGGTTGACGCGCGGTTCGTCTTCAGACCATGAGGGAGGCTTCCCGATCGAGATGTATTGACAGTTGTAGGTAGGTCATATATCGAAAGAGGAAACACCCTGGACACCAGCCTGCTGCCTTGTACGCACTTTACGCGTTTGTCAGCCCTTGCGAAACCGAGATCTCGAAGAAGACTTAAGCAAAGTACTAGGAGGAAGATGGCGCATGCAGGTAAGCTGACGCCCTGATATCCTGCCACTTGCGGGAGTCTCATTGGCGCTCTTGGGAATTTGATGGATTGTTGATGATCTAGAAGACGATGCGAGCCATTGATAGGGCATTTGCGAGCGAGTGATCAAAACCTGTGCGACAAATAGTGACAGTACCTTAACTGACAGCTTGATTTGTGTTCGTCTCTTCGTAAGGCTCTATTGTCTTGGCCATTGGACCACAGAGGCCTGTAACGTTTCTTCGGCCTCACGCGATGCGGGATACAATGCGTATGAAGCGTTCCTCAATGGTAAAGAACGAGTTGATGGACGTCGTTGATCAACATTGCATCGGCGTCGGCAAACAGCAAAAGGCCGCGCGGGGACGACGCTCTCTCGCGCGCGCGGGATGATGCACAAACAAGGAATGTTGTATCGTCATTAATGGGGCTCGGCCGTTATGTCTCGTCCGCTTTGCTGGACCATTCTCGATGCTTGATCAAATGTCTTGGTTCGCGCGCGCGAGACCTGACGAAAGGCACTCTGCATGCCCCCCCCCCCATCACCGTCGTTGTTCTCGAGGCCAATGTTCCAATATTTCCATATCCTTTTAAGATCCTAAACGCCCCAGTCATTTTTGACTGTTATTGTCCCACCCAAAGATGCAATGCGTGCTTGCTGCAGCCGTCCAGTGCTACCTGACGCGAGGCCTGTTCAAGCAGTCCCTTTTCCTTTGCGGTCGCCTGTCCGGGCGAACAGGTCCTTGAAGCTCCAATGCCTCCTGTCTGAATCGTCTGATGGTCCGGATGAAGGGAATATGGAGAATCGAGAAGATGACGAGCTTGACTTGGCTGAGCCGTAGACTTCGGTCGGTCGTCCTGGCAAAAGAGCAGTTAGGATTGTGTTCAAAAAATGCAATGCAAAGATCAAAGTGTCATCAAACTTACTAATGTTTCCAGCCCCTCCAATCCCATATCCTCGAAACTGGCGGTCTCTCACCGCAGTCTCCTTGACATCGTCCTCCTCCGTGTCGCTGCTCGCATCATCCAGGCTCTTCCTCCTCCGCACCGGCGCCACTGTGCTCCCAGCCACGCCCGACTCGAACTTTGCGCTCGCTGGGCCCCCCGACCCGTTGCCGACAACTGGGGATGGCAGCTCCGGGGCCACTGACGGCGTGGGTCGCAGATTCACTGTGGACACGCTGCGCACGACGGCGAGTCGGCCCTGAACGCGGACGCGGTGTCGGCGTTTCTTCGCGGGGATGAGCTGATCTGACTCCGGATCGGGTTCTCCCGTGTCGTCCTGGGAGTATCGGCGCTGGTTCGAGAAGGGAAGCATCGCGGGAATTTGGTGAAGCGAGTCGAATTAGGGGTAAGATCGGCGAAAAGAGGTTCGTCGTGACTTAAGGTTACGGTGCGATAACGCAGTGCTTTGCCCAACGCCCCTCGGGATGGACAGGAACAATTAAAGGGCCCCCCTGGAGGACTGAAGTAGCGCAATTGAAATGTAGAAGCAAGAATCAGAACAGCTACTGGGCTTGAATGAATGGACGCAACGAGGTGACAAATTCTCGTTGCACAGGAAGCGGGCGTTGCGAGGAACTATTTCATCAGCTCGCAGCGCAGCGACAGTATATACATACACACAGAGTTCATAAACAAGTTTGAAGAAGAGAGCAAAGGAACTAGAGCGTCGCATCATGAGCGGCAGAAAGGGGGCCCAACGCTCATATGTTCGCCCCCAGACGAACGCCTCAGCCCAGTCCAGCCAACACGAATCCGCCCTAAGCTAAGCACCCAGCTCTTTTAATGACTATGTGGTAGATAAGAAGACGGCGTGCTTGGGGTTGATTGCGCCGCTTTGCCATAGTCACCATGCTGATTTCCTTCTGTCAAGGCTTCTAGCAATCAAATCTGGGCTCCTTCGCCTTCCTTCGGTGTTCGGGGGCGGACGAGGCAAAGCAAAAGGTCCCCCCATCCCCCCTCATTAACTCATTAAACCTTGCATTGGCGCGAACCCCTGGCAGAGATGGGGGCTACGCCGCAAAAGAGTCCAAAGCAAGGAATTTTGGGGTGACATCGCCGGGGAACCAACCGGATTTGCGCCAGGGCCCGTCTCCCGCCCCGACCAGGTTGCCGGCTGCTTCGGATTCAAAGAATTCGAGGGACTCTGCTGGTTTTTTTTTTTGATCAACTTCGCTCTCCTTCAGATAAGATCTATCCGTATCTTTTTTTGTTTATGGAAAAAATGGCATCTGCGATGGACAGTTGTGCTGTGACTCCAATACAAAGGAAGCCTTGAAAGTAAGATCGATCGAACGTTGCACCAACAGCCACAAACAGCTAGGCTCAGCAGTAACCCATAAGAGGTTAGTTCTTACCTCACTGCCATAGTCTATGGAATAGCATTCGATGGCGCCTTGAAGCTCTGTTGATCGCGTCCGGGCCACGGCTTTTCGAGTGGCTGTCAGGTTTTCTCATCTCAATATTCTCTCATCTCAATTTGCAATTTTATCACGATGATTTAGGTGAGCTCTGATTTGTTGAACAAAAGAAGGTATTAGTGATATTACGTATTACATGATTATCAAATCTTGTGTTTGCTTAAGAAACGTCCTGCATCGCGACTTGCGCAGAAGAAACCAGCGAGTTTCTGAACAAAGAAAGGTTGGATAGAGGTGAGATATCCTTAGTAGACAATTTCATGGATTATTTTTTTTTTTTTTGCCGCAACGCCATCAAACACAGGAAACCCGGACAGAAAGAAAGGAAAGAGTGCTGTAGAAGCATTTTTCGGACTATTTGGCGGCCACGTTCACCGTGGCGACGCCAAAGAGGCGCAAGTTCAGGCAAGCCACAATGTTCGGGCCCGTCAAGGACAGGTTCAAACAATCCGAGGCGATGCCGTTGGACAAGAGGCCGAGCGAAGTTACGCAAGAGATGAGGTTTGGTGCGCTGACAGTCACTGCCACGCCGCCGGTCGCGTCGACGCCTAGGTTGACACAGCTCTGCGGTAGTGTCGTGATACACTGCGAAGCCAACGAGTTCTGGATACATTGTGCGTACGACTGCGTCTGCGCTCCGAGGAGACTGCCCACCAGGCCGGTGACACTGCCGAGGGTACAGCCCAAACCGGTAGCCAAGTTTGATACCGTGCTTCCCAAGGCGCTGACGACGAGGCCAGCCTGGCAGAGGTTGAGGTTGGCATTGATTTCCGACGTTGAGAGTGTGACATCCAGTAGAGCACCGCAGGCCGCCGGAGCGCGGGCGCAAGCTGTGCCGGAAGGACACAATACTGTACTCGCCAATCCGGCGACTGTTTGACCGACCGGCAATCCGAGAGCTCGTTCGAAACAGTTGAGAACGGCCGCGCCTCCTTGGTTGGTGACGCTGGATATGATACAGTTGCCTGCTGTCGTGATGGAACCAAAGGCTCCAAGATTGGCGAAGCACACAGCGGCGTTGGTCTGGACATTGGCAAGAGTCTGGCTGGATGCCGCCAGGTTGGCGCAGATTGATGGAAGTCTGGTGAGACAGGTACCCGCCAGAGCAGTCTGGATACATCTGACGTGGTTGAATCCCAGGACGTTTCCGATCAGAGCAATTTGTTGCAAGCTGAGACAGTTGCTGACGGTTCCAATGTTGGCGGTCGCGCCTAACGCTGCAGTACAAGCATCGAGCGTTGCCTGAGAGTATGATTGCAAGATGACACCCGTGAGACTGGCGCAAGCAGCAGGCAGAGTGATTGCGGATCCCGTTGATGGTAGACAAGTCGGGGCGGCGACACCCGTAGGCGTCGGGACACAGCCAGATGGTGCGTATGAGCTGGTGACGACGCGACTTGCCGATGCGAGTGCCGTCTGCTGGAGTACCGTGTTGCCAATGGTCGTAGTCCGCGTGCCGGTGAAGGCACCAGTGACTCCCGTGAGGATCGTGGTGTACGATGTGCTTGAGGGGAGGGCGGTTTGCTGGACGACCGTGTTGCCAATGGTGGTGACTTGAGTGCCAGTGAAGGTACCGATCACACCGGTGACGACTGTCGTGTAAGAAATTGGAGGAATGGCCGTCTCCTGAAGGACGGTGTTGCCAATAGTCGTGACTGAAGTTCCGGTAAAGGTGCCGGAGACTCCGGTGAGGATTGTGGTGTACGGCACGGCAGTCTGGGCGAGGACCGTTCTTGTTGCTCCGGAGCCCGCGAGGGTAGTGAGAGAGGTTCCGGCAAATGTGCCCGGAACGCCAGTGGGCACCGTGTTGTAGAAGACCTGCGGCAGAGCCGTCTGGGCGAGCACCGTGTTTCCGACAGTAGACAGAGAGGTTCCGGTAAAGGTTCCAGTAACTCCCGTGACGACCGTGGTGTAGGGAATCGCCGTCTGGGCAACGACTGTCTGAGTGGCTCCAGAGCCCGAGAGAGTGACCAAAGACGTTCCTGCAAAGGTACCAGGCACGCCTGACGGAATGGTCGTGTAGAAGATCTGGGGCAGGGCTGTCTGGGCTAGGACCGTGTTTCCGACAGTAGCCAGAGAAGTTCCGGTAAAGGTGCCAGAAACTCCAGTGAGGACCGTCGTGTACGGGATGGCAGTCTCTGCCACAACAGTTCGAGTGGCTCCGGTGCCAGGAAGAGTGACCAGTGAAGTGCCGGCAAAGGTACCTGCGACTCCCGAGGCAACTGTAGTATAGAAGATCTGCGGCAAGGCTGTTTGGGCGAGAACCGTGGCCACACTTCCGACGGCGGGAAGCGTAGATAGCTGCGTTCCTGTGAAGGTGCCGGTGACTCCCGTGGCCACTGTGACGTACGAAACCACAGGTAAGGCTGTTTGAGCGAGGACGGTCGCGACGCTTCCGACAGCAGGCAAAGTAGACAACTGCGTTCCAGTAAAGGTGCCCGTGACGCCGGTAGGAACAGTGACGTAGGAAACGACGGGCAAGGCTGTTTGGGCCAGCACTGTGGCCACACTGCCGACAGCAGGGAGTGTCGAGAACTGGGTTCCTGTAAAGGTGCCAGTGACGCCCGTTGGCACCGTAACATATGATACCGCAGGCAAGGCTGTCTGAGCAAGAACAGTGGCCACGCTTCCAACGGCTGGCAATGTTGAGAATTGGGTGCCGGTGAACGTGCCGGTGACTCCCGTAGGCACCGTGACATAGGATACCACGGGCAAAGCAGTCTGGGCGAGAACTGTGGCAACGCTGCCAATAGCTGGGAGGGTCGAGAACTGCGTGCCGGTGAAGGTGCCCGTGACTCCTGTTGGAACAGTCACGTACGACACAACTGGAAGGGCAGTCTGCGCCAAGACCGTAGCCACACTTCCCACGGCCGGCAACGTCGACAAACGGGTGCCTGTGAACGTGCCGGTGACGCCAGTCGGAACGGTCGTGTACGAGATGACTGGAAGAGCGGTCTGTGCCAATACGGTAGCCACACTTCCAACGGCTGGCAATGTTGAGAATTGCGTACCCGTGAAACTGCCAGTGACTCCTGTTGGGACGGTAATGTAGGAGACGACTGGGAGAGCGGTCTGCGCCAAGACGGTTCCGATAGTTCCAGAGACTGGCAAAGTTGACAATTGGGTACCCGCGAAGGTTCCAGTAACGCCAGTAGGAATGGTGAGATACGAGATGGAAGGGAGGGCGGTCTGGGCAAGGACGGTTCCGATTGTGCCGGTAACGGGCAAGGTCGAAAGCTGCGTACCAGCAAACGTTCCAGTAACACCAGTTGGGATGGTGATGTATGAGACTGAAGGGAGAGCAGTCTGTGCCAACACTGTTCCAATGGTGCCAGTGACGGGCAATGTCGAGAGTTGGGTGCCCACGAAGGTTCCAGTAATACCAGTTGGAATCGTGATGTACGAGATAACGGGCAACGCGGTCTCGAGAAGCACCGTTGCGATGGATCCCGTGATCGGCAGCGTGGTTGTCTGGGTGCCGGTGAAGGTTCCTGTAACTCCCGTGGGAATTGTGATGTACGAGATGACCGGGAGGGCCGTCTGAGCGAGCACAGTACCAACGGTACCGGTGACTGGAAGGGTGCTGAGGCGGGTTCCTGTGAAGGTTCCGGTTGCTCCAGTGGGAATTGTCACGTAAGAAATGACTGGGAGAGCAGTCTCCAGATAAACGGTACCGACAGTCTGGCCTGGACCGGTCGTGGGCAAGGTGACTGTGGAAGTGCCCGCAAACGTGCCAGTGACCCCAGTAGGGATGGTGATGTACGAGATGGCTGGGATGGCAGTCTCCAATAACACGGTACCAACGCTTCCGGTGGCTGAGAGGGTGGTAACAGAGGTACCAGTAAAGGTACCGATAACACCAGTGATGATAGTCGTGTAAGAGACAATGACGGAGCTGGGGATGGCAGTCTGAAGAACCACGGTTCCAAGGCCTCCTCCAACAGCCGGCAAGGTGGTGGTCTGAGTGCCGGTGAAGCTGCCGGTGACTCCGCTGGTGACGGTGAGGTACCCGGTGGGCAGGGCGGTCTGAAGCAGAACGGTTCCGAGACCGCTGACGGCCGGGATTGTCGACGTCTGGGTGCCAAGGAAGTTGCCCGCGACTCCGGTGAGGAGAGTCGTGTACGAGATCGGGATTGCGGTCTGAAGGAGCACCGTACCGATGGTTCCGGTTGCGGGTAAGGTGGTTGCCGAAGTTCCAAGGAAGGTTCCGAAAACGCCGGTGACGATCGTCGTGTAGGACGTGGCTGGTGGAACGGCCGTCTGCAGAACAACAGTGCCAAGGGTTCCAGTGACTGGAAGAGTCGTAGTCTGGGTGCCTGTAAAGGTGCCGACGATGCCGGACAGAATGGTTGTGTATCCAGTGGACAAGGCAGGAATAGCAGTCTGCTGAAGAACGGTTCCGATTGTGCCTGTGACGGGGAGAGTAGAGAGCTGGGTGCCGAGGAACGTAGCTCCCAGAACTCCAGTAGGAATGGTGATGTAAGAGGTGACGGGGTTGGGAATAGCAGTCTGTTGAAGAACCGTACCGATAGTGCCGGTGACAGGTAGGGTCGACAGTTGGGTTCCGAGGAATGTAGCTCCCAGAACTCCCGTGGGAATCGTGACATAGGATGTGACGGGGTTGGGAATCGCCGTCTGTTGAAGAACGGTTCCGATTGTGCCTGTGACGGGGAGAGTAGAGAGCTGGGTTCCGAGGAACGTGGCTCCCAGAACCCCAGTTGGGATCGTGACATAGGAAGTCACAAGAGGAATGGCGGTTTGTTGAAGAACAGTTCCAATCGTGCCAGTAACAGGAAGCGTAGAAAGTTGCGTTCCAAGGAACGTAGCTCCCAAGATTCCGGTCGGTACCGTGATGTACGATGTAGCAGCGGGTAGAGCAGTCTGTTGCAACACGGTTCCAATCGTGCCGGTAACGGGCAAAGTGGAAAGCTGGATACCCGTGAAAGTAGCTCCCGCGATGCCAGTAGGAATCGTAATGTACGAAGTTGCTGCCGGAAGGGCTGTCTGTTGGAGCACGGTGCCGACGGTTCCAGTAACGGGCAGGGTCGTGAGTTGAATGCCGGTAAAGGTGCCACCAATGACTCCAGTTGGGATCGTAATGTACGAGGTAGCAGCCGGAAGAGCAGTCTGTTGAAGGACCGTACCGATGGTTCCGGTAACGGGCAAAGTAGAAAGCTGGATGCCGGTAAAAGTGGCTCCAATGACTCCGGTGGGAATCGTGATGTATGAAGTAGCGGCCGGCAAGGCGGTTTGTTGAAGTACAGTACCAATGGTTCCCGTGACTGGAAGGGTGGACAGCTGGATGCCAGTGAATGTGGCACCAGCGACTCCCGTGGGAATCGTAATGTACGAGGTGGCGGCTGGGATGGCCGTCTCCAACAAGACGGTTCCGATGCTTCCCGTAACCGGAAGAGTGGTGGCGCGGGTGCCGACAAAGGTCTCGCCAGCGATGCCAGTGAGGATTGTTGTGTAGGAAGTTGTTGGGACGTCGGGAATAGCCGTCTCCAGGAGGACAGTTCCAAGTGTGCCGATGACAGGCAGGGTGGTTGCCCTCGTACCGGGGAAGCTGGTTCCGGTGACACCAGTGAGGATCGTGGTGTACGAAGTCGTGCCGGGGCTCGGAATTGCCGTCTGAAGGACGACGGTGACGAGTCCGGGGGCCGTGGCGGCGGCGGGCAAGGTAGTTGTCTGGGTTCCTGCGAATGTGCCAAAGATGCCAGTGACAATGGTGACGTAGGAAGTGTTGATCACGATGACCGACGAGCTTGAAGACGTGCTGCTGACCGATGGAAGAGCAGTCTGGATGAGAACAGTCGCGACGTTGCCCGTGCCGACGACGGGAAGAGTAGTCGTCTGAGATCCAGCAAAGTTGCCTGGAATTCCTGTGAGGAGCGTGGTATAGGAGATGGCGGGCAGTGCAGTCTGGAGGACGACAGTCGCCAATCCGTTGGAGCCGACAACAGGCAAAGTGCTTGTTTGTGTTCCGATGAACGTTCCAGGAATGCCCGTGAGGACAGTAGTGTACGAGACGCTCGGAAGTGCAGTCTGGAGGAGAACGGTGGCAACGTTTCCGGTGCCGACGACGGGCAGAGTGGTCGTCTGGGTGCCAATGAAGCTTCCAGCGATGCCGGTGACCAAAGTTGTGTAAGACAAACTCGTGGTTGGAATGGGTGTCTGCAGAACAACAGTTCCAAGGCCGTCGATTCCAGTGCCAGGCAGAGTGGTTGTCTGGGTTCCGGTGAAGGTGCCAACGATTCCACTGAAGATTGTGGTGTACGAAGTAGCGGCAGGGAGAGCAGTCTGGAGAACAACTGTTCCAAGGCCGTTGGCACCGGTGCCAGGGAGGGTGGAAGTCTGCGTGCCGATGAAGGTGCCCGGAATGCCCGTGAAGATTGTGGTGTAGGAAGCCGCAGTCGTCGAGGGGACAGCCGTTTGCAAGACAACAGTGCCAAGACCGTTGGTGCCGACGCCAGGAAGAGTGGTTGTCTGAGTTCCGGTGAAAGTGCCAAAGACACCACTGAAGATGGTCGTGTATGAGGTGACTGCGGGGAGGGCCGTCTGAAGGACCACGGTAGCCAATCCATCCGGACCAACACCGGGGAGGGTAGTGGTCTGGGTGCCGGTGAAGCTGCCGGGAACGCCGGAGACGATGGTCGTGTACGATTGCACAGCCGAGGTGGGAATGGCAGTTTGTAAGACGACAGTAGCCGTGATACCGATGCCGATACCGACTCCGATAGACGGAATGGGCAAAGTGCTTGTCTGAGTGCCAGTGAAGCTTCCCAAGATACCAGTGACGATGGTGATGTACGTGATGCTGACACTGCTTGTTGGTGACGAGGTGGTAGAAGGAAGAGCGGTTTGCAAGAGAACGGTCCCGACGCTACCAGAGATGATTGGCAGCGTAGTCGCCTGCGTACCGATGAAAGTTCCCGGAATGCCCGTCAACAATGTGACGTAGGAGAGAACCGGGCTTGGAGTTGCGAGAGCGGTCTCCAAGAGAACAGTGCCAACAGTTCCGGTGACGATGGGCAGCGTAGTCGTCTGGGTGCCTGTGAAAACACCAGGGACTCCAGTCAAGATTGTGGTGTAAGTGACACCAGCGCTGCTCGAAGTCGGCGTGGGAACGGCGGTCTGGAGAATGACGGTGCCAACTCCGTTGGTTCCCGCGGGAAGTGTTGAGGCCAAAGTGCCGACAAAGGTACCCGGGATGCCCGTGACAATGGTGACATATGACGCAGCTTGGACTGTGGGAACGGCGGTTTGAATGATGACGGTGGCAAGACCATCAGAACCAGCCGGGAGCGTAGTAGTCTGCGCGCCCAAGAAGGTTCCTGGTACCCCGGATAGCAAGGTGGTGTATGAGATGGGGCTTGCTGTGGGCAGAGCAGTCTGGACAATGACAGTTGCGAGTCCATCGAGACCAGCAGGCAACGTTGTCGTTTGTGAGCCCAAGAAAGTGCCCGGGATGCCAGTAAGCAGCGTGGTGTACGAGGTTGGGCTTCCGGTTGGCAGGGCTGACTGGATGACAACAGTTGCGAGGCCATCGGGGCCAGCAGGAAGTGTTGATGTCTGCAGGCCCAAGAAGGTTCCTGGAAGTCCTGTGAACACGGTAGTGTAGGACACAGAGCTAGCTGTTGGAAGGGCAGTCTGGATGACAACAGTCGCGATTCCGTTGGTACCGGCGGGCAAGGTAGAAGTCTGCGCACCAAGGAAGGTTCCTGGAACGCCTGTGAGCACCGTGGTGTACGACAGAGGGCTTGATGTTGGCAGAGCTGTCTGGATGAGAACGGTTGCCAAACCGCCAGGGCCAGCGGAAAGGGTAGTCGTCTGGGCACCCAAGAAAGTGCCGGGAACGCCGCTGAACACCGTGGTGTACGAGAGCGGGCTGGCCGTCGGGAGTGCGGTTTGAACGACCACGGTCGCAATGCCGTCGGTTCCAGCGGGCAGAGTGGTTGTCAAGGGCGCCGTGAAAGTGCCAGGGATGCCAGAGAACACAGTCGTGTACGACGTTGGGTTGCCAGTGGGCAGGGCAGTTTGGATAACCACCGTGGCAATACCACTGGGCCCAACAGGAAAGGTGCTCGTCTGAGCGCCGATGAAGGTGCCCGGTACACCAGTGAGAACGGTCGTATATGACGTAAGGCTTGCAGTTGCAGTCGGAAGCGCCGTTTGAATGAGCACAGTTGCGATGCCGTCAAGTCCAGCAGGCAGAGTGGTTGTCAAGGGTGCGATAAATGTACCGGGAATGCCAGAGAACAGAGTCGTGTAGGACGTCGGAACACCAGTGGGCAGCGCGGTTTGGATAATCACAGTGGCAACGCCGTCAGGTCCAACCGGAAGAGTACTGGTCTGCGGGCCCAAGAACGTTCCAGGGATGCCAGTAAGCAGTGTGGTGTATGAGGCACTGGCTGTTGGAACCGCACTCTGAACAAGTACCGTGACGAATCCGTCGGGACCGGCAGGCAATGTGGTTGTCTGAGCTCCGATGAAGGTACCGGGGACGCCCGTAAAGCGAGTCGTGTAGGAAACGCCCGAGGTCGGAAGCGCGCTCTGCACGATGACGGTAGCAAGACCGTCGGGGCCCGCGGGCAAGGTCGTAGTTTGAGGTCCCACGAACGTGCCGGGCACGCCAGAGAAGATGGTGGTGTAGGAGACGGGGCTTGCAGTGAGCAGAGCAGTCTGGAGAAGAACGGTTGCGATGCCGTTGGTACCAACAGGCAAAGTCGTCGCCTGGGTTCCGAGGAATGTGCCCGGAATTCCCGTCAATACCGTAGTGAAAGAGACAGCAGCAGACGGAACGGCGCTCTGGACCAGGACAGTCGCCAGTCCATCGGGTCCTGCGGGAAGAGTTGATGTCTGAAGACCAGCAAAGGTGCCAATGATACCCGTGACGATTGTCGTGTACGAGACAGTGACGCTGGGGCTGGACGTGGCCAGAGGGAGGGCAGTCTGGATGAGAACGGTGGCAGATCCGTCATTTCCGGCAGGAAGGGTAGTTGTCTGGGTGCCAATAAAGGTTCCAGGAACACCCGTGATGAGAGTGATGTACGAGATACCGCTGGTGATCGTCGGTGTAGCAACGGAGCTGCTCGTCTCCGTGAGGGGAACGTAGACAATGACCGTGTTGGGCAGAGTGGGATCGCCGCTGATGCTGACCAGAATTGTGGTGGTGATTCTTGTCGTTCCGGTGTAGGGAGAGAAGATGGTGGTGAGGTCACGGCTGAGAATCGAGGTGGGAGCAGATGTAATGGATGGCGGCGAGGCGGACGTGCCAGTGATCTCTGGGACCTGCACAATGACGCTTCCGATGCCAGAACCCACAGGGGGGATGGAGAAGGTCGTCGCAACGGAGCCGGTGATGGTGAGGGTCGTGTAAGACGCGAGGAGGGCAGTCGGAGTCTGGATAACCACGGTTCCGAGGCCGGTAGGGTCGACAGCTGGGATGGTAAAGGTCGACGCAGCTGGGCCACCAGACGTGATGGTGGTGAACAGGGCTCCCGGGCTGACAGTGGGCGTCTGGATGACGACCGTTCCGAGGCCAGTGGGATCAGCGGCTGGAATCGTGAAAGTGGAAGCGACTGGACCACCAGAAGTGAGAGTCGTGAAGAAGGCTCCAGGGCTGGCGGTGAGGGTCGGTGTCTGGACGACGACCGTGCCAACGCCACCAACGATGTTGGGCAGAATGGTGCTGGTCGCCGCAATTGGTCCTCCCGTGGTGATGGTGGTAAAGATACCAGCCAGAATTGATGTGGGCTCGGAGACAATGACCGAGACGATACCATCCAGTCCGGTGACTGTAGCAGTGGCCGGAAGAGCTCCGGTACCTGGAACGGTGGTGAACACGGTCGAGGGAATAACCCCCGGGGGCAGAGTTGTACTTGGGAGCTCCACGATGACAGAGACTATTCCACCGAGGCCGCTGGCCGTGGTAGTGGTAGGGAGAGCTCCGGTTCCAACGATGGTGGTGAAGACCGTAGTAGGAACCACGGGGCTCTGGCCCGAAGTCGTAGGCTCCAGGAAGATGACGGAGACGACTCCATCCGCCCCCGTGACGGTGGTTGTTGCTGGCAGAGCAGCCGTTCCGGGCAGCGTGGTGAAGACCGTAGTCGGAACAGCTCCAGAAGGAAGAGTGGGGGTCTGTATGATGACTGAAACCACGCCATCAGGGCCAGTGATCGTGGCAGTAGCCAAGAGTGAGCCAGTTCCAGGCGCGGTCGTGAAGACGGTGGAAGGCGTAATGGCCGGTGAGCCCGTGGAGACGATTGGGGTTTGAATGATGACCAGACCAGTTCCGGAGGGATCCGATGGCAGAATGGTTGTCGTTGCCGGAAGAAGACCAGAGTAGCCGCTGGTGACGGTTTGGAAGATAGCAGGAAGATCGATGATGACCGTCGCTGGAAGGCCGGTGCCGGCGGGAGCGATGGTAGTGGTGCCGGCAGATGGGGCGCCAAAGCGAGTTGAAGTGACTTCGGCAAAAACGCCGGGGATGTTGACAAGAACCGTGGTCGGGTCGCCAGGTTGAGCGGGGGTTTCTGTCTGGATGAGAGTGACAGAGCCGCTGTAGGTGTTGAAGACGGTCGTGATGCCTCCGATTGTGGGAGACGCCGTGGCCGTAGCCGGACCAGGAACCTGGATCATGATCGTCTGAACACCATCGGAGCCAATTGGCATAGTTGAGGTGGCAGTGACACTGAGACCAGGGATCGTGGTCGTGGCGAGCACCAATCGGCGAGGGAGACCAAGAAGAACAGTGACCACATCGCCGGTCCTTGAGGGAACGAGGGTCGAGATCTGAGTGGTGGAAGCCGTGATGAAAGACGTAATGGTCGTGTACGAAGTGCCGTCCGAGATGGTAAGAGAAGGCGTGCTTGAAGGCACGGCGGTCGGGACTTGGATGAAAACGGTGCCTGGCAGACCAGAGGCAGCGGGAGCGAGCGTCTGGAAGAGAGTTGAGGCGCCAGAGTAGTAAGTCGTGACGGTGATGTACGAGATGATGGACTGAGTGACCGAGATCGCGGGCGTGGTCGTGGCCGTGACCGTGGCAGTGGGAACCTGGACCAGAACGGTCGCAAGTCCATCTGCGCCAGTAACGGAGCCGATGAGGGTCTGAAGAAGCGAGCCATCATACCCACTTGTGACGGTCGTGTACGAAACACCGGGCAAAGTGGCCGTGGGCAGAGTTGCCGTGCCAGTGGGGATGTTGACGACCACGGTGATGTAGCCGTCAATGCCTGGAAGAGAGCCGATGAGAGTCTGGATGAATGAGCCGCCATAGCCGCTGGTGACTGTGGTGTATGAGACCGGAGCCGAGACGGTCGGGCTAGAGGTAATGGAGGCTGTTGGGACCTGGATCACAACCGTGGCGAGACCATCAGCTCCAGTAGCGGTACCGATGAGGGTCTGGAGAAGAGATCCAGCGTAGCCACTTGTGACGGTGGTGTAGGAAAGGCCGGGAATCGTGGCAGTCGGGGAGGTGAGTCCCAAAGTGGGAGTCTGAATGACAATCGTCGCCAAGCCGTCTGCACCGGTCTGCGTTCCAATGAGAGTCTGGAGGAGCGTGCCGTCGTAGCCACTTGTCACGGTGGTGTACGAAAGGCCTGGAATAGTGGCAGTCGGCGAGGTAATCGCGATCGTGGGCGTCTGAATGACCACCGTAGCCAGTCCATCGGCTCCCGTCTGCGTTCCGATGAGGGTCTGGAGGAGAGATCCAGCGTAGCCGCTGGTGACTGTGGTATATGAGAGACCCGGAATGGTGGCCGTGGGTGAGGTGACCGCGTTAGTAGGAGTCTGGACGACAACAGTAACAAGGCCATCAATACCGGTGGCCGAGCCGGTTGACGTGGCGATGACAGATCCATCGTATCCTATGGTGAGCGTGACGAACAAGCCGACGCTTCCCGTGATGGTGGGCAAGGAAGCGGCGGTTCCGGTCGGCGAAAGAACCACCACAGTGACGAGGCCATCCACTCCGGTAAGAACGCCCGTTTCGGTTGCGAGAACGGATCCAGGGTAGCCGCTGGTGATGGTCGTGTACACAGCTCCAAGGGCGCTCGTGGCACTTGGAACCTGGATGACAACAGTGCCGGGATCTCCGGGGTTGGCCGGAGGAATGGTAGTCGTCAATGGGGCCAGGCCGGTGAAGCCACCACTCGTGACAGTCACGTACGAAATGGCATCCACACTGACTGAGCTGGTAGGAACCTGGACAATGACGGTTCCAAGATCGCCGGGAGCGCCGGGAGCCACGGTAGTGGTCTGAGGAATGAGTCCGGTGTAGGCACTGGTGACCGTGGTGTAAGACACGCCGTTCGTGTTGAGCACGTTGCTGGGAACCTGGATAATGACCGTGGCAAGTCCTGAGGGGTCGGTCGCCGCAGGAGGGACGGTGGTCGTCAAAGTGACTGAGCCATCATAGGTGCTGAAGAGCGTGGTGAAGAAACTGCCTGGCGAGACAGTGAGACCGCCTGTGGGGAGGCTCGAAGTATCCAGAATGTCGGGTACTTGAACGACAACTGTTCCCAAGCCCGTGGGGTCCGCGGCGGGAATAGTAGTCGTCAAGGTAACTGAGCCAGGGTAGGTACTGAACACGGTGGTGAACAAGGCACCCAGAGCACTCGTGGCCGTGGGAATCACTCCAGTGTCGGGGATCTGGATAATGACTGTGCCAAGACCCGCAGGATCAGTAGCATCGGGAGGCAAGGTGGTGGCCAAAGTAACGGATCCAGGATAGGTGCTGAAGATGGTGGTGAAGGAAGCAGCCAAAGCGCTGGTGGCGGTCGGAATGATTCCAGTATCCGGGATCTGAACGATGACCGTGCCGAGGCCAGCTGGGTCTGTGGCAGCAGGAGGCAGAGTCGTGGTGAGCGTGATGGAACCAGGGTAGTTGCTGAAGATGGTGGTGAACGAGGCCGCCAAAGCATCGCCAGATGAGCTGGTACCGGTGGCTTGAGAGTCTGGCACCTGGATAATTACGGTTCCAGTTGCAAGACCGGCGGGATCTGTAGCAGCAGGAGGAATGGTGGTTGTCAAAGTGACCGATCCCGGGTAGTTGCTCACGATAGTCGTGTAGAAGATGCCAGGCGAAGCCACAAGATCCGAGGTCGTAAGAGGGACCTGCACAACAACTGTGCCAATGCTGCCTCCAGCGGCGGGATCAATCGTGGTGGTGATGGGAACAGATCCCGAGACGAAGCTGACAATCGTCGTGTACGTGATACTGACGCTGATGGTCGGGCTGGAAGTCGCCAGGACATTGGGCAACTGGACGATGACGGTGCCGATGTTGGCAGGGTCGCCGCTAGCCGGAGCAAGAGTCGTGGTGAGAGGAATGTCGCCAGTGTACGTGCTGAAGATTGTGGTGTAACTGATGCCATCAGAGTTGACAGACGATGTTGGCAACGCGGTGAGGGCCGAGCTGGGCTGAAGAATGACAACAGTGCCAGTCTGGCCAGGAGCGCCGGGCGCAATGGTAGACGTCTGGATGATGGACCCATCGTACCCACTGAAGATGGTGGTGAAGGGCACATCTAACGTTGCGGTGGCCTCGGGCTCAAAGAAGATGATAGTACCAACAGTGTCAGTTCCCGAGGGGGCCTGCGTGGAGAAGGATGGCAACAATCCAGTGTACGTGCTGGTGACCGTGGTGTAAGAAGAGACACCAGGGATCTGGACGCTCGAGCTAGGAACCAACAGGATGACGGTGCCAACAGCATCGGTGCCTACGGGAGCCAGAGTCGAGGTCGCCAGCAACGAGCCTGCGTAGGTGCTGATGATGGTGGTGTAAGACACGGTGACGCTTGGCGCGGCGGTACCCGTTGGCTCTAGAATGACGACCGTTCCAAGTCCATCGGTGCCGACGGCCGGGATGGTGGACGTGGCAATGACGGAACCATCGTATCCGCTTGTGATGGTCGTGAAAGAGCCAGCGTTGGTTGTCGTGAGGAGCAGGGCTGGGTCCAGAATGATGACGGTCGCAGGGTCTCCAGAGACGGCGGGCGGAATCGTAGAGGTCAGAGTCTCGGTTCCGGTGTACGGTCTCGTAATGGTGATGCCCGGAGTGTCGATCGTGATGGGGTTTAGAATGATGATGGTTCCCTCGGTGTCCGATCCAGTTGGGAAAATGGTCGTCGCAGATGGGATAGCACCCGAGTACGAGCTCGTAATGGTGGTGAAGCTGATGCCCGCACTGCTCGTGGGCACCAGAATAACAACAGCGCCAATAGTCTCCGTACCCGTGGGCAGAATAGTTGACGTTGATGGTACGATGCCTGAGTAGCCGCTGGTAAGCGTGATGAACTGACCAGTAGAGGCACCGAGAGCGGAAGTTGGTACCAAGACAACGACGTCTCCAGGCTCACCCGAGGGACCTGCTGGGAGAGTGGTAGTCAAGGTGACTGAGCCGTCGTAGGTGCTGGTCAACACGTTGGGCAGAGCCGCGGTGGGAGTAGTCAAAGCACTGGTGATGCTTGGGACCAAGATGACGGTGGCACCAGGCTCTCCTGAAGGACCAACCGGAAGTGTAGTGGTGAGGGTAACCGATCCGTCGTATGTGCTAGTCAGGATGTTCAAGTCCGCAGTAGGCGTGGGAATGGCACCAGTGAGACTTGGCACCAGAACCACAGTCGAACCAGGCTCGCCTGAAGGTCCAGCTGGCAAAGTGGTCGTGAGAGTGACTGAGCCGTCGGATGTGCTGGTCAAGAAGCTTCCCAGCGCAGAAGTAGCGCCGGGAACCAAGACGACGGTCGGGCCAGGTTCTCCCGAGGGCCCAGCAGGAAGTGTCGTGGTAAGAGTGATGGATCCTTCATACGTACTAGTGAAGACGTTGGGCAATGCCGAAGTCAAACCAGGAACCAAAACGACGGTAGGACCCGGTTCGCCAGATGGACCAGCTGGGAGGGTAGTTGTGAGCGTAATGGATCCATCGTATGTGCTCGTGAAGAGGTTGGGCAAAGCACTCGTGAGGCCAGGGACCAAAACCACGGTTGCACCGGGATCGCCAGACGGGCCAGCGGGGAGTGTTGTGGTGAGAGTGACAGACCCGTCGTAGGTACTGGTGAAGAAGTTTGGCAGAGCAGATGTCGGCAAGGCGGATGTGAGACCCGGAACCAGAACAACTGTAGGGCCAGGCTCTCCTGATGGGCCAGCAGGGAGGGTGGTGGTGAGGGTGATGGACCCATCGTACGTGCTGGTGAAGAGATCTGGCAACGCTGATGTGGCGCCAGGAACGAGAACAACCGTCGGTCCGGGCTCGCCAGAGGGACCCGCAGGCAAGGTTGTAGTAAGAGTAATGGAGCCATCGTAGGTGCTGGTGAACAAGTTCGGCAGGGCAGACGTCGGCAAAGAAGATGTCAAGCCAGGAACCAGGACCACGGTAGGTCCAGGCTCTCCAGATGGACCAGCTGGAAGGGTGGTGGTCAAAGTAACCGAGCCATCGTACGTGCTGGTAAAGAGATTGGGAAGTCCGACGCCGACTGAAATAGTTGGGACTAGAATAATGGTTGCACCAGGCTCTCCAGAAGGACCGGCAGGAAGCGTAGTCGTAAGGGTAACTAATCCATCGTAGGTGCTCGTGAAAAGGTTGGGAAGGCCACCGACGGAAACAGTCGGGACAAAGATGATGGTGGCTCCGGGCTCGCCAGATGGACCAGCAGGGAGCGTAGATGTAAGAGTGACTGAGCCGTCGTACGTGCTCGTGAAGAGACCACCTCCCACATTGGTCACGCTTGGAATAAGAACCAGTGTTGGTCCAGCAGGCAGGGTAGTTGTGAGAGTGACAGATCCGTCGTACGTGCTGGTCAAGACATTCGGCAATGCTGAAGAGCCAGGAATGCTTGGGACCAAAACCACGGTTGCTGGGTCTCCAGAAGGTCCGATGGGCAGAGTGGTAGTCAAGGTAACAGAACCATCGTACGTGCTTGTCAGCACGTTGGGAAGTGCTGGAGCCGTGATACCAGGAACCAAAACGACGGCCGTTGGGTCACCAGAGGGCCCAATCGGCAGCGTCGTTGTGATTGTGATTGAGCCATCGTACGTGGACGTGAGAACGTTGGGGAGACCAGGCACAGTGACGCTTGGGATGGCACTCGGTACGAGAACCACCTCTGCTGGATCGCCAGACGGGCCAATGGGCAAGGTAGTGGTGAGAGTGACAGAGCCATCATAAGTTGAAGTTAGGACGTTGGGAAGGCCAGTAGCAGTTACGCTTGGGACGGCGCTTGGTACCAGGATCACCGTTGCTGGGTCACCCGAGGGACCGATGGGCAAAGTCGTGGTCAGCGTGACGGAACCGTCGTAAGTCGAAGTAAGCAAGTTGGGCAGTCCAGGTGCGGTGACACTCGGTACAATGCTTGGGACAAGAACCACCTCTGCGGGATCTCCGGAGGGGCCGATCGGAAGCGTGGTGGTGAGAGTAATAGAGCCGTCGTACGTAGAAGTAAGCACATTCGGGAGACCAGCAGCGCCAGACGAGGGCACCAAGACCACGGTAGCCGGGTCCCCAGAAGGACCAATGGGCAGAATAGTGGTAAGAGTAACTAATCCGTCGTACGTGCTTGTTAAGATGTTTGGAAGACCAGCAGCACCAGTGTTGCTCGCGCCAGGTACGAGGATGACCGTGGCCGGGTCGCCAGATGGACCGATGGGCAAGGTAGTTGTGAGAGTAACCGATCCATCGTAGGTGCTCGTGAGAACATTTGGTAGACCGGCGCCAACCGAAGACGGCACCAGAACAACTGTCGCAGGATCTCCTGAAGGTCCAATGGGCAAAGTAGTCGTAAGCGTCACCGAGCCATCGTAGGTACTGGTGAGAATATCGGGAAGACCACCAGCGCCATCGCTCGTCGCACCAGGCACCAGAATGACCGTAGCCGGATCTCCAGAGGGCCCGATGGGCAACACTGTAGTCAGAGTCACCGAGCCGGCATAGGTACTGGTAAGCACATTCGGTAGACCGGGGGCATCCGTGATGGAAGCTCCCGGAACCAGGACGATTGTCGCTGGGTCTCCGGAGGGGCCAGCCGGAAGCACGGTAGTGAGAGTGACCGAGCCGTCATATGTGCTCGTGAGGAGAGTGGGCAGCCCTGGAGCATCGGTAATGGGAGCACTGGGAACCAACACAATCGTCGCCGGATCGCCAGAGGGACCAGCTGGGAGCACAGTGGTGAGGGTCACAGAACCGCCATATGTGCTTGTGAGAATATTGGGCAATCCCGGAGCATCAGTAGGAGTAACACCAGGAACCAAGACGATTGTGGTTGGATCACCAGAGGGACCGATTGGAAGGACGGTCGTGAGAGTGACTGAGCCGGCGTAGGTGCTCGTAAGCACATTAGGTAGAGCCGAAGCGTCCGTGATAGTGGCGCCGGGCACAAGGATGATGGTCGCGGGGTCTCCAGAGGGACCAACCGGCAAAACAGTGGTCAAAGTGACAGAGCCAGCGTACGTGCTCGTTAAGATATTCGGAGATCCAGGTCCCGCCGTGATACTAGGGACACTGCTAGGTACCAGAATGACCGTAGCCGGATCACCAGACGGTCCAATGGGAAGGGTAGTCGTGAGGGTAACCGAACCACCATAGGTGCTAGTGAATAGGTTGGGGAGGTTGATGCCAATCGAGAGGTCGATGAGCGGAGGAGTGCTGGGCACCAAGATGACGGTGGCAGGATCTCCAGACGGGCCAACTGGTAAGACTGTTGTGATGGTGGATGGACCTCCATATGTGCTGGTGAACAATCCTGGAAGATTGATACCAAGAGAAATGTCGATGAGTGGAGGAACGGCGCTGCTGGGTACCAAGATGATCGTAGCAGGGTCTCCAGATGGTCCCAAAGGCAAAACCGTTGTAAGAGTGACTGAACCACCGTACGTGCTGGTAAGCACGTTAGGTAAACCAGGCGCAGGCGTAATGGTAGGAGTAGCACCCGGGACTAAGATGATGGTAGCCGGATCTCCAGACGGGCCAAGAGGCAGAACCGTCGTGAGGGTGACTGAACCATCGTACGTGCTCGTAAGCACGTTGGGAAGGCCGGGAGCAGCCGTGATGGAAGGAATCGTGCTTGGGACCAGGATGACAGTTGCCGGATCGCCCGATGGCCCAATAGGTAGGGTCGTCGTGAGAGTAACTGAGCCATCATAGGTGCTGGTGAAGACATTGGGAAGACCTGCGCCAGCTGAACCAGCGCCGGGCACGAGAACAACGGTTGCAGGATCGCCAGATGGTCCAACCGGTAAGACAGTAGTAAGAGTGACCGAGCCTCCATAGGTGCTTGTAAGCGCATTAGGGACACCAGGAGCCGCCGTAATGGAAGGAATAACGCTGGGAACCAACACAACCGTGGCGGGATCACCAGAAGGTCCAATGGGTAGGGTGGTAGTAAGGGTGACTGATCCGTCATAAGTGCTCGTCAGCACGTTGGGAAGACCACCGTTGTTCGAACCAGAACTGGGCACCAACACGACTTCTGCTGGATCTCCAGAGGGCCCAATGGGAAGTGTGGTGGTGAGGGTGACTGAGCCATCGTAGGTACTCGTGAAAATGTTGGGAAGACCACCATTGTTCGCGCCAGAGCTGGGAACCAGAATAACAGTTGCCGGGTCACCTGAAGGTCCAATGGGCAGCGTCGTTGTGAGAGTGACTGAGCCCCCATAGGTGCTCGTAAGCACGTTAGGGAGGCCAGCTCCATTCGAGCCAGAGCTGGGTACCAAGATGACTGTGGCAGGGTCACCCGAGGGGCCAATTGGTAGAGTTGTTGTAAGAGTAACCGAGCCGTCGTACGTGCTGGTAAGAAGGTTGGGCAACCCAGGCACAGCAGTCGAAGTGAGACTACCGGGGACGAGAATCACCGTCGCGATATCGCCGGATGGTCCAACTGGGAGAGTTGTAGTCAAGGTTATGGAACCACCATAAGTGCTTGTCAAAATGTTGGGTAGACCAGGGGCAGCAGTTGAGCTGGGGACCAAAATCACGGTCGCGATATCACCAGAGGGGCCAACAGGTAGCGTCGTGGTCAAAGTCACTGAACCGCCATACGTGCTGGTCAACACGTTGGGCAAACCAGGCGCCGCAGTCTGACTTGGCACAAGGATCACTGTTACGGGATCTCCAGACGGTCCAACAGGCAAGGCAGTAGTCAGCGTGACTGATCCGCCATACGTGCTGGTCAAAACATTTGGCAGGCCAGGAGCAGGTGTCGTGCTCGGTACCAGAATGACCGTTGCGACATCTCCTGAAGGTCCGACTGGAAGGGTGGTGGTCAACGTGACTGATCCACCATATGTGCTGGTCAAGATATTGGGTAAGCCACCAGCGCCGGTCTGACCTGGTACCAAAACGACAGTCTCGGGGTCGCCAGAGGGACCAACTGGCAAGACGGTGGTAAGAGTGACTGATCCTCCATACGTAGATGTAAGGATATTTGGCAAGCCAGGAGCAGATGTCACACTTGGAACCAAGATGACAGTTGCGATATCTCCAGAAGGCCCAACGGGCAAGGTCGTTGTGAGAGTGACTGAGCCACCGTACGTCGAGGTCAAAATGTTCGGGAGACCAGGAGCACCGGTCTGACTTGGCACCAGAATGACCGTCGCAACGTCTCCCGAAGGACCAACAGGTAGTGTGGTGGTCAAAGTGACCGAACCTCCGTACGTAGAAGTGAGAATGTTGGGAAGGCCAGGCGCCACAGTTTGACTAGGCACCAGAACGACGGTGCCAACGGGCAAGGTCGTGGTCAAGGTGACAGACCCATCGTACGTGCTGGTGAAGAGATTGCTTGGGACAGCGGGAGCAGCAGTTTGACTCGGCACCAGGATGACGGCCGCCGGATCTCCAGAAGGTCCGATTGGGAGGGTAGTGGTAAGAGTGACCGAGCCGTCATACGTCGAGGTAAAGACGTTGGGCAACGAAGGAACCCCGGTGTTGGTAGGGATGAGAATGACGGTGGCACCAGGCTCGCCAGATGGGCCGGCGGGTAACGTCGATGTCAATGTGACTGAGCCATCATAGACACTGGTCAACACTCCGCCAGGAGCAATGGTAGGTGTGGCGATCGGAGAACTTGGCACGAAGACGACCGTCGCGCCGGGCTCGCCAGAGGGGCCAGTAGGCAGAACCGTGGTGAGGGTAACCGAGCCCCCGTACGTCTGGGTAAGGATGTTGGGAAGACCCGCGGCTCCAGTACTGCTCGGGACAAGAACAACAGTAGCAGGATCACCAGATGGACCGATAGGCAAGGTGGTCGTAAGAGTAACCGAGCCACCATAGGTACTGGTCAGAATGCCTCCAGGAGCAACAGTTGGTGTAGCAATCGCGGAACTTGGCACAAAGATAACAGTCGCACCAGGCTCTCCCGAAGGACCCGTCGGGAGGACAGTCGTCAATGTCACCGATCCGCCGTATGTCTGAGTAAGAATATTCGGAAGGCCAGCAGCGCCGGTGCTGCTCGGCACCAAAACAACGGTTGCCGGGTCGCCTGACGGGCCGATGGGCAGAGTAGTCGTCAAAGTGACTGAGCCGCCGTAAGTGCTCGTCAATACGCCACCAGCAGATGGAAGTGCGGGAGTCGTCGTTGGGAGGCCAGGAACGAAGATGACTGTCGCTCCGGGCTCCCCCGAAGGACCCGTGGGAAGAACCGACGTCAAAGTCACAGACCCACCGTAGGTCTGGGTCAGGATGTTGGGAAGACCTGCCGCTGCGGTGCTTGTTGGAACCAAAGTGTTGCTTGGGACCAAGACCACAGTCGCAGGGTCACCAGATGGGCCAACCGGCAAAGTAGTCGTGAGCGTGACCGATCCATCGTACGTGCTAGTCAACACATTGCCGAGGGCCTGAGTAGGATCAACGGATGAGGCTCCAGGTGCCGAGGGGACGAAAATCACAGTCACACCAGGGTCTCCCGCAGATCCTGTGGGAAGAACAGTGGTCAACGTGACGGAGCCACCGTAGGTCTGGGTCAAGACGTTGGGAAGCGTAGGAGCCGGAGTGATGGTAGGGGTGGCACTGGAAACACCAGGCACGAAGATGACCGTAGCAGGATCACCGGACGGCCCGACTGGCAAGACTGATGTCAAAGTGACTGAGCCGCCATAGGTGCTCGTGAGGATGTTGGGCAGACCAGCAGCACCAGAGTTGCTGGTGACACCAGGAATTCCCGGCACAAAGATGACTGTGACTGGATCTCCAGATGGGCCCACTGGCAAAACTGAAGTGAGAGTGACGGAGCCTCCGTAGGTGCTCGTTAAGATATTGGGCAGACCAGCAGCACCAGAGTTGCTGGTGACACCAGGAATTCCCGGCACAAAGATGACTGTGGCAGGATCGCCAGATGGGCCGACCGGTAGGACCGAAGTCAAAGTCACAGAGCCTCCATAAGTACTTGTCAAGATGTTGGGAAGTCCGGCAGGATCAGTGTTGCTAGGAACGATGGTCACGCCCGGAACAAAGACAATGGTCTGTGGCGGCACGTTCACACCACCGTCAGTAACGACTGAAGTCAGGGTGACTGAACCACCATATGTGCTGGTCAAGACATTGGGCAAAGATGGTGCGCCGGTGGCGCCGGGAGCGCCCGTATTGCTTGGGACGAAGATGATGGTCTGTCCAGGATCTCCGTTGATGCCAGTAGGCAAGACAGAGGTCAATGTGACGGAACCTCCATACGTGCTCGTCAGGACGTTCGGCAAAGCCGGGGTAGCAGTGGGAGTCGGGATAAGAATAATAGTCGCACCCGGTTCGCCAAAGGGGCCGGTGGGCAGCGTAGATGTGAGAGTGACGGAACCACCATAGAAGCTGGTGAACAAGCCACCGGGAGTAGGTACTGTAGCCGATGGAGTAACAGTGTTGCTGGGGAGGAAGATGATGGTGGCGCCCGGCTCGCCAGAAGGACCGGCCGGTAGGACCGAAGTCGATGGCACCAGTCCGCTGTAGAAGCTGGTGAGAACTCCGGCCAAGGCGGTAGTAGCGGGATTGGTGACAGCAGTGTTGCTAGGAACAAAGATGACTGTAGCACCAGGCTCTCCAGACGGTCCGACGGGAAGCGTGGAGGTAAGAGTGACTGAACCACCATACGTGCTCGTGTAGAGACCGGCAGCCAAAGCCGTGGTAGCGGCGGTCGGCAGGCCGGTGTTGCTAGGAAGGAAGATGACGGTACCACCAGGCTCGCCAGAGGGACCTGGAGGCAACACGGATGTCGAAGGCACCAAGCCACTGTAGAAACTGGTAATGACACCACCAGCAGTAGGCGTTGCGGCGCCTGCTGCACTGGTTGCACTCGGAACGAGAACAATGACCGTTCCAGGGTCGTTGGAGTTGACCGGAGCGACAGTGGTAGTCAAAGAAACTGAGCCAGTGTAAGTGGACAGGAATGTTGTAAGCACATTGTTGCCAACACCAGGAGCAGCGCCACCAGTCGAGCTGGCAACGTTGCTTGGAACCAAGACAATGAGAGTGCCGGGGTCTCCCGGGTTTGCAGGTGAAGCAATAGCCGTTGAAATGATGGAGCCTCCATACGTCGACGTGACAGTAGTAAGAGGAATGGCGGGCGTGGCAGTGGGAGAGGCTAGTACGTTGCTCGGAACAAGAACAACGAGGGTGCCAGTCGAGCCAGTTCCCGATGGCAGCACGGTCTGGAATGAGGTGACAGAGCCTCCATAGGTGGAAGTGAGAGTGGCAAAGACTGCACCAGGTGAGGATGTAACAGCCGGAAGACCGGCACTTAGAGTACCGGCGTCGACGGTAGAACTCGGGACAAAGACGACGAAAGTTCCCTGAGAGTTGGTTCCAGTAGGGAGGATAGTCGAGGTCGACGGCACCAATCCAGTGAATGTGCTGATGAGAGTTGCAAAGTTGGCACCTGGAGTAGTTCCAGGGGTTGCCGTGGCACTTGGGAGAAGGACGATGACGGTTCCCAGGCTATCAGTGCCAGCCGGAGCGAGCGTAGTGGTCGATGGAACCGATCCAGTGTAGGTGCTGATGAGAGTCACAAGCGAAGCGGGTGCCACAGTCGGAGTTACAGCTGGCCCTGTGGTTGGGAGGTTGACCGCAGGGTTTGAAGTTGCCGGGTCCTGTCCAACGGTGGGAGTCTGGATGAGAACAAGACCGACGCTGCCGCTGACGGTAGGCAGGATGGTGGTGATCTGAGTTCCAGTGCCAGAGTATCCAGTCTGAACTGTAATGAATGAGAAGCCAGGAGCCGTGGGTGTGGGGGCAACATTGGTAACTGCGGGTGAAGAAGGAGAGAAGGGAGTCTGGATAATGATGGCACCAACGGTCTCGGTTCCAGATGGGAATACTGTGGCGGTAGTCGGCACAGCTCCAGTGTAGCCAACTGTTGTGGTGAGGAACGAAAGGCCAGATGTGGGAAGAGGTGTCTGGATGATGACTGTTCCTGGATCACCGGCGTTCACAGGTGCTAAAGTTGTGGTCGCCGCTGCAGTACCGAAGAATCCGCTCGTCAAAGTAACGAACGATGCCGGAGCAACAGTGACCGAAGGATCAGCAGCAGAAGTAGGCGTCAAGACAATCAGAGTCGTCGGGTCGCCGGCGGAAGAGGGGGTAAGCGTAAGTGTAGACGTGGCAGAGCCAGCAAATCCGCTTGTGACAATGACATTGGGCAAAGCGTTTGTGACGCTGGGAGCCGCGGTTCCAACTGATGGAGTCTGGACAACCACACTTCCTGGGTTGGTGCCAGACGGAGGGAAAGTGACCGTGGTGGGAAGAGTGCCAGTGCCAATAGTAGTGGTGAGGATGAAGCCGCTGGGCACAGTAGGTGGTGGAGGATCACCGCTAATACTGACGAGAACAGTCGTGCTGATTCTCGTGGGAGTCTGGATGAGGACGATGCCAACAGAGTTGGTTCCCGTGGGAAGAATCGTCACCGTGGTCGGCTCCGTGCCAGTGAATCCAGTAACAGCTGTGATGAAGCTGTTCGGAGCAACAGCAACGCCAGAGGTAGGAGTCTGGACGACGACGACTCCGGGCTGTGTACCAGTTGGCGGCAGAGTAAAGGTCGTCGGCGTGGATCCAGTGTAGCCAGTGGTAACAGAGACGAAGCCGGGCGCGGTGACAGCCGGGTCAACGACGGGGCTAGTTGCGCCTCCGGCTCCGGGAGCGGTGGGAGTCTGAATAATCACGGTTCCGATAGTGTTGGTGCCGGAAGGCAAGATAGTAGATGTCGCCGCAACAGGTCCGCCAATGGAGACGGTGATCTGAATGTTCGGCAGACCCAATGAGATGGATGGCACAGTCACAGCACCTCCAGAGAAGATGGGTGTCTGAACGACCACTGTTCCAACCGTATCAGTTCCACCGGGGAAGTAAGTAATCGTAGTCGGCGCGATGCCTGTGAAGCCCTGGGTGGTGGTGATGAAGCTGTTGGCCGCCGCGTTGGTGGCAGAGACCAAGGGGTTTGTGAACGGGGTCTGAACGACCACGATACCAGAGCCACCTGAAGACGGCTGCACGGTGACGGTAGTGGGAAGTGATCCGGTGAAGCCAATTGTGGTGGTCTGAAGAATGTTGACTTCCACAGAGACCGTGGGCGTCTGGATCAGTACGACGCCGAGGGTATTGGTTCCCGTCGGCGGCAGGGTCGTAGTCTGAGGAACAGATCCAGAGAAGCCCTGGAAGAGAGTCGTGAAGACACCAGCGCCTGGAGCGGCAGTCGCGGCGACAGTCGGTGTCTGGATAATGACGAAGCCCACCGAGTTGGTGCCGGAGGGAGGGAGAATGGCGGTTGTTGCTACCGGTCCACCCTGGGTCAAGGTGATGAAGGAGCCCAGGCTGAGACTTGGAACAGACAGAATGATGGTGGGCAGGTTGATGGAAATCGGCGGGATGGTGAGTCCAGGAAGCACCAAACCAGAGTTGACTGCGCCTGGGGAGGTGGCAGCACCGGTTGGCAGAGCCGTGAACAAGGACGAAGGCACCTGGACGAGAACGGTGCCAACAGTGTTCGTTCCCGATGGCAACAACACGTTTGTCTCCACGGCGGGAACGTCGGCTGGTGTTGTGACCGTCACGAAGGGCACGCCAGAGGGGAGGTTCAGCTGAGAAGCAGCAGCAGTAGCAGGAGTCTGAACAAGGACTGTTCCCAGGGTGTTTGAGCCAGTGGGCAACAAGATGTTCGTCTCCACGGCGGGGACGTTGCCGGCGGTCGTCACCGTCGTGAACGGAACACCAGCAGGCAAAGTGAGTTGAGGAGCAGCGATGTTAGTAGGGGTCTGGACGAGAACGGTTCCTAGAGTGTTTGTTCCCGTGGGAAGCAATACATTTGTTAGTACAGCGGGGACATCACCAGCAGTAGTTACCGTGACAAATGGCACTCCGGAAGGGAGAGTCAGTTGAGGAGCAGCTGCGTTAGTAGGAGTCAGGACGACAACCGTTCCAAGAGCGCCGCTGACAGCAGGAGGAACGGTAAAGGTCGAGGGCTGAAGGCCATTGAAACCGCTCTGGATGGTGGTGAAGGCACCCAGAGCTCCAGGTGCGAGACTGGATGGAACTCCATTGACACCAGGATCCTGTGTCTGCGTCTGGCCTGGCTGAGCAGTAGCAGTGGCCAAGGGATCACCCAGAACTACAACCGTGCCGACACTGTTGGTTCCTGCAGGAGGAATGGTCAGCGTGGTGGGAGTTGACCCAACAGCTGGCCCAGTGAGGGTGGTGAAGGAACCAGGCAGAGCCCCTTGGGACGCCGCGGCAGTCGCAGCAGCTGGATCCGGAGTCAACACCAAAACGGCGGGAGCAGTAGATGCAAGGCCTTCTGGGAGAACCGTGACGGTAGTAGGTTGGGAACCGCCAAATCCGGTGGTGATGGTGTTGATCACATTAGGAGCCACAGTCGCACCAGAGCCCGCAGGGTCAGGCGCAGCGGAACCGGCAGCGTTGGTCAATGGCGTGAGAACCAAGACTTGCGAGGCCGTTTGTGTTCCCAGAGGAGGCAATGTTACCGTGGTCGGCACAGATCCAGAGTAGCCGCTCGTGAGAATGTTCGGTAGAACACCTGCGTTTGAAGCCGCCGGGTTTGCGGCAGATACACTGGGGGCGGTAGCTTGCGTAGCAGCGTTCGTGATAGGAGGCACAACCGTAGTTGCGGCAGGGTTTCCAACGCTGACTCCCGCGCTGAAGCCAACGGGCAACTGCTCGACGATGGTGGCAACCGGGTTGTCGCCCTGAGAAGGCAGCGTCAGAGTCAACGGATCGGTGCCATTATAGTCACCTCGGATAGTGACGAGGTTGGCGGCCAGAGCGGCTGGTGCAGTTGTGGCCGGATCATCTCCGCCCAGTCCCACGGCGACTACAATAGTTCCGGGGGCAGAAGCAGAGTTTCCCAATAAGGGTAAGGTGATCGTGGCACCGAGGCCGGCAATCGGGAGCGCGGCCAAAGTTCTAAAGAGGGCAGGCCGAGCAGTGATTGACGGAGTCTGCACAATGACGGTGCCCAGGGTCGGGTTACCAGCGGGAACAATGGTGAGCGAGACTGGAAGAGATCCGGTGTTGCCATTGGTCGTAATGGTCGTAAAGGGGCCGGTGAAGGAGGTGATGGCAGGCTGGACAACGACAGTGCCGGTCTGGCCGGTACCTGAGGGAGGGACTGTAATGGTGACTGGTGATCCTCCCGTGTTGCCACCGGCCGTGATGGTCCGGAAAGGCCCATTGAAGGCCGTAGGATCCAGGCTCTGAACGAGAACGGTGAAGACGCCGTCCGTCGCACCAGCGGCCGGGGGAATAGTCACAGTCGCGGGAGCATCACCCTGGCCGCCGCCAACAGTGACGGTCGTAAAGGGGCCAGCAGCGGGGCCTGTGAAGCCATCCGTGGTCTGTACGATGACCGTACCGGTCTGTCCTTCGGGTGCCGGGATAGACAGTGTCGTTGGTGTAGCTCCGGCAACGCTGATGGTTTGGAAGATGGCACCAAGAGCCGGTGCTGCAGTCTGTACGATTACCGCACCAACACTGCCAACCGTCGGAATAAGCGTAAAGGTTCCGGTTTGGCCGTTCTGGCCCTGGATACTCACGGTTGTGAGCCTGGCAAGAAAATCGGCCTCACCTCCCGGAGTCTGGATAATCTGAAGCACAGCATCGGCCCCGGTCTGCGTCACACCCCTGTTACCGGGCAATGTGATGGCAGCGGGTGTAACACCGGCATTGCCGAGAACCGTAATGACGTTCTGAGGACCAGTCACAGTGATGGAGAAGCTGTCAAAAGTCTGTGCAAAGACCGTACCGGCAGATCCAGCCGAGTCCACGACGGTGAAGTTCCTGGGCACGCCCGTGGCACCACCAACGTTGACGGTAGCAAAGATCTGAGGCAAAGCCGCAGCACCTCCGGATGCTGTAGGAGCGATTGTAACCGGAACTGAGGCAGGGCTAGGTCCGGGGTTGACGACGCTGCTCGCCGCTGGCGCAGACTGCGTGACAAAACCACTTGGGTCGATAGGAGTGCCCAAGACAGTTGCTGTTTCTGGAACACTGCTGCCCGTGGTAGCCGCAATGTTGGCGAAGGGGGTGAAGACCAAGTAGGTTCCAACGCCATCGGGACCCGAGGGGAAGATTGTGATTGTGCTTGCCTCAGATCCGGCCTGGCCACCTCTTGTGATTGTGACATAGGCGTTTGGGATGGATGAGACCTGGTCAATGATTCTAAGTTGGCAGGTTAGCTTGTACTTCCAAAGATGAAGCTCGGGGAAGCACGACCAACTTACCTGGTTACTTGGGACGTGAGTGTGCCCAACTTATCAATCTCGGTGACCAAGGTCAATGGAGCATTAGTGATGGTAAGCGTCAGCCCATCGTCGAGTACCAGGACGGTGTTGACTGGCAAGTAGGCGCTGATGTAGATAGGCTGTCTGACGATGAACTGCACCGGCTGTACTTCGACAGACGTGATGCCGGCAGCACAGACGGGATTATCGGGAAACTGAGGCAGGGCAGTGACCGGCCAGTACTGGCTGGCGGCAGCCAACAGGCCCAGGATGGTGTTGAACTTCATGGTGATGATGAAGCGCCGCTGCGTGATTCCAGCACGATAGTCTCAAGACCGTCCAAGACACCAGGTCTGGAAGCCGAGCAGCAGCAAGGTTAACGTTAGTTGTGTAACGTCGTTGCTGCTAATCAGAGCCGATCCTTTTCTTTTGTTTCCTTTCGGATATTAAGGTATAGTAGAGTCGTACAAGGAAATATCTGGTCGACTATTGACCATGCAGTGGCATCTCTCGAATAAGACGGGAGGCGCCGCTGTTTCAACGGGAAGAGGAAAAAGAGGGAAAAGGCAAACAAGAGAAGCGTTCGAGGCCAAAGTGTGTGGACGCCGTGAAACAAATACTAGATGTGTTACTTGTACGACGGTCAACGAAGATGGCTCGATTGTTTTAATGGAGAGGTTCTGCTGTAGCTTGTTGCCGTGAGACTGGTGCGTTCCTGACCATGAGAATGGGCCAGAGGTGTGTGGAATGTCGTATCCTATGCGGACGATGGCGGGATCTGTCTTCAGCCCAAGGCGCATGCCAAGCTGGCTCACAATGTCTCTGTGTGATGAGGATGATGGATACTCTACCTCGGACTCGATTGCAACGTCCAAGTAATGACGAGATGTAAAAAGGGTAGATATCGGAAGCGAAGAGAGGCAAATAGGAGAGAGAGATGGAGAGAAGAGGCGAAAGAGAGGGAGAGAGATGGCGAGCAAACCGTGGCGAACCTGCTACCGGGCCGAGTGCCTCTCGTCGAGGATACGGCAGAGGCATGAGAGGCCAGAGCCATCTCATTCGAAAACAGGAGGATTGATGCCTCGCCTGACTTCATGGTTACCTACTCTGTGACTGAATCTGGCCGAGTTCTGCTCGTTCCGGCCAAAGATGTGATGCTGTTCAGAAGCGATTGGTGAGAATGGGGTCTGGCGTTTTTGGAGATCTAAGACAAGACCGTCAACCGAGAGGGAACTAGAGCCGCTTCGGGAGCTCACGGCGGATTTTCCGCGCTCGGCGTAGGTAGACAGCAGGACTGCTGTGATTACTAGGTAATGCTCGGAATTCTCAGAGTGGCCCATTGTAGACAATCACATTGTTTGTTCGTCCGTCCGTCGGTAGCGTCAGTGGTGGTGGGTGATGTGGTTGAGAGCCACAGGAGCCTCGGTATGCAGGCAAGGCAAGAAAACACATAGCTAAGGTGATTTGACTAGCATTAGACTCCCGTCATCTCAGATTCCGCGCCCGCAAGAACGACGACGGTTGAGATGACAACATCCGCCTGGCCCTATTCTTCGCGGGTCCTCCGAAAGAGGGAGAGATTTGCTCCCGCTCTTAGTAGCTTTTTCCCTCCCTACCAACCTTACTTATTAGATGCCTAGCAGAAGCTCTCTCCGCTAGCTGCCGCCCAGGTCTAGGATGACTTGCAGCCTCCGTACGAAAGCGTTGCCGGTGGGTCATAGCTATGTGTGTCGTATCTGTGTGTGTTTGTGTGTGTGTGCGCGGGAGGTCAGTCAGACGCAATAAGGTGCGAGACGGTTCGAGAGAGCTGAGGTCCATCTTGACCAAATCCGTCCAAGCTTCCCCAACTCCCCAGTAGGAGGCGTTCAATGTAGCCGAACCGTTGCTGGCTGTGGACTACCTACTTGTTGTGGCGGGCACTCTCCTTCGGCCGCCTCTTTCAACCTGCTGTGGTGCCTCTTTGGGAATATCACCGCCACAGCCCGGAAACGAATTGAGAAGAGGTGGACGGTGAGTCGGAGGTCCTCATCCCGAGGGGGTGTGTGCATTAGTCTACTCTGTCGGTCGGTCTGTGAGAGGAGTGAGGAGTTGTTGTCAAATAGCACACTAGCAGAGTTAGACCGCAACTAAAGACGGGAAGGGAATGCGAGAGATCTACGCAACAGTTGGCGCGGTTTTCCCCCGGGGGAGCCGTCGCGGTTGGTCAGCCGTCATCCCGTCTAGTTCCAAGACACACACCCTACAAAGAGCCTAGACCCTTGAACTCAATCTCACCGTTCCCACGGAGCTTTGACAGTTTTCTTATTTCCGATCTCTGCTTCTTGTTCGGATCCGGTTACTACTCGCCCTTGACCAGGACGGCCCGTGACAGTTGAAGCTATCCCAACCTGTCTTCCCGAACAAGACAAGCAGTCTGAAGACTACAGATACCCTCACACACGACCGCACCCGGAACAGTGGCGCTGGGCGAGGCCAGGTATTGGATTCTCTGGGCAGAAGGCATCACGATCGCAGTCACAAAGACCTTGGCAAGTTCGCATTCAGCTGCTCTCTCGAGCAAACCCCCTCATACTGTTCCTTTGCAGCTCGATGAGGGCTTTGTGAGAGTTGCGTCTGTTCCGGCCGTGACACTCTCGAGAGGCCCTCGGGAAGGCGTCTTTCCAGTCCCCAAGAGGGTTGGAGGAACAAGAGAGTTGACGCCCTGTTGGACATGACGTTCCGGAGATGGATGTCAGATGTCGACAAACGGCTTGGCGGCCGGGGGTGAAGGAGGTACGGGAGGCATACGATGTCGGTCCATCTTCAGATCAAGATGTCCTGATATAGACTTTGTCCGCATTCCTTCTTCAGCCCGGGATTCTTGCTACTCTTGGACCCTGAATTCAACCGCGACAACCTTGAACCATCCAACATCAGCTCATATCAGCTCACATCTCGCCTCTTACGCCTCTTACAGAAATGTTGCAACTCATCTTTGCATTCGCTGCCGTTGCGGCTGGCGCAAGGGTCTACCGCAGACAAGAAGATTGCTCCTCCACCACAACGTTAGATGCCCTCACCGTTACAAGGGTTGAGCCAATCTCGATCTATATCCTCCCTCAACAACTTGCACCTACAGGGACCAACAACGATCCCTTCACCGCAGTCTACACAACAGTCTACCCTACCTTCTGCCCAGAGTGCTCCCAGGGTCTGAGGCCAGAGACTTACACCATCACCCAGACCTGCACCGGCATCACAGGATGCCAGCCATCAGGCAGTGTCCTTCCTCCGGGCTTCACTACAACCCAAGCCACCTGCACCGACTGCCCAACACCCTTCAGTGCCGTCCTCACTGTTCCTCAGGCGACTGATGCCGTCGTCACTTCAACCTTCCTCGAGACCGTCACCGAGGCTGGCTTGACCACGACGCGCACCATCGTCCAGACCTGCGCGAGCGAGCCTTGCTTGGCGCAAATCACCAATGTCCCAGGACGTGTCTCTACTTTCGATGGGGGCCTCTTCGCCGAGCCGGTTACACAAACAGCCACAGTGTCGGTCTCAGTCACCGTAACCGACAAGTCAACTGCAACCGTCACTGCCGATGCTGATCCATCCTTCCGTCCTGGCAACTTCAACAGCGGTGCCGGACACGTCGTCTCTTCAGACAAGTCTCTTGTTCTTTGCGTCAGCGCATTTGTTCTTTTGATGATCATGTCTTCATGAGCGAGCGGGTGGAGCGAGCGGGAACTATGTGTGTTTGGGCCACAGATTGTGGATGATGTTGATGGCCATTAAGACTCATGAACTCTTAGCCTGCGGATTGCTTCATGTTGCTTCTATTACTTCTAAGGACAATACTTGATACCACTTGTTTTCAATACGAGCCTTTGAGGGCTTTTACTTTCATTTCCTTGTATAATCTTACTTCAGTCCAGTATATACTTCATCATATTACTTCTCTATCCATCAGAGGATCTTCAATATTTGTTGCATCTAGTAGATAGATATCCACATACCTTAATCAACAAAGTCTGAGAACTCATTTTTCCAAATCCAGCTCGATTAAAAAATCACTTGCTACACATGTTCATCACGAATATTCCGCGCATTCTTCGTTTTCCTTCACTACTTTGCCGTAGTCGAAGATGAATCATTGTGCCAATGCCACTAATGATGCTGTGTAACTATCACCATTCTACATCCGACTTACGAAAAGACCGCTTTTTGAAAGGTGCTAGATCCCGCAATATTAGAGTGCGGGTAGCAATCAGACCATGAGGGTCCCCCCTGATATTAGTCACATTTTGAGGTTACACGCAAATTCCAGGGCTCGAATGTCCAGTGCCTCGTCTGGAAGTGTTGTTCCTCTTTTTGGAAAAAATAAGAGTGATCTGCGTCCCCTAGCCATGTTTCTTATTGTCAAAAGAAATATGCGTCGTTGGGTCTCGTCTGCATGTCATTTTCTGGGCGATCATTCCATCACGGCCCTGTCCATCGGGTCTCGATGTGACGACAAACCCCTGTGACCCCCCTTGACCACCCCCCCAGGAACCATCCCGAGATCATGGACATGGGCACATCTGAATCCAAGAGTGAGGTTTGACCTCATCTTCGGCTCTGGATCTGCACAGCTGAACAATCTGGAGTTCTTGGAAATGTCTGCATTCGTTGAACTTTTAAAGCCCTCTTGGACCCTGCTGACTGGATGTCGCGGCGGCTGGAACTAGGACTGCTGATCATATGCGATTCCGTCTGGTCTATTCTAAATTCTATCTTTACTTGACCCTCTCTTGCGGGGCCGTCTCCTCCTTCTCCCGCGGGACCCCGACCATAGCCAAGTAGGCTATTATCTCACAGTTTTAATTTTGTTTACCGGCCCGTACTCACGGGCGAACCCTCGGCTCGCGTATGATCTGATGATGTGTCTGGATTGGCGGGAGGTCCAAATTCCGCGCAAGCCACGGATGTCACTAGCCCATTTCTCCTCATTCCAACGACAAAGGCAGCGCTACGCAAACTCTCTGCCCACCCGTTGCTACCAGGCTGACCAGCACTAAGATCTGCAAATCTCCTCCCGTTGCGTCTGTGCGTGATGCAAGTTGGCTTCTCTCTCTCCCTCTGTCTGCTTGTAGCCAACCGGGTGGGATGCGAGATGTGATGTGATGTGACTTGAAACTGTCGCCCCCCAGTGGTGGCAGAATTGTGGCATAGATGGTGTATGCCACCCCTCAACGTCGACGCAGAGACGATACGCCCTCGGTAACTCGGACACCTCTCGTCAATGGCTTCGTGTAAATCTTTTCTCATTTTTCCTCATTTTCGAATGTGCGCCGTGACATCACTTTTGCTCCATTCGTGAAAAACCCCTCCGTCGAGGCCCCAGTCATGCGGATGATGTCGGTGCCGCAGCCTTCATCACCTGCTCCAACCACCAAACGTGAATGCGGACATCGTCGGTGAGCTCAGGGTGGAAACTCGTGGCAAATATGTTCCGCTGCCTCACAGCAACAATGTCGCCGACAGAGTCGTCCGCCGTGCTCTGGCTGACGCCCTCAGCGGCCTTGGTCTTTCGCCCCGGAAGAACGGCAAGGACCTCGACAGCCGAGGAGGCTGGCTTGTCGCTCTTCTCGCCTGCCGCCTCGGTGGAGAGGATCTCCTCAACAATTGGGGCGCGGATGAAGACGCCAGGGTAAGGGGACGACGCCGTTTTCGTGTGGCCGTCGCCCTGCGTCAGGAAGGGCAGGTCTAGGTCCGCGACGAAACTCTCGATTTGTCGACCAAAGTGGTTGCGGTGGACGCGGACGCCCAGACCGCCGATGAGCTCTTGGCCGCCCTTCTTGGTGGCATTTGCCTCATCAGCGAGGAGGATGGCGCCGGCGCAGGTTCCCCAGACTGGCTTACGGTCGACTCTAAAGATGAGAATAAGAATTAGATGTTGTCTCACCGCGAAACTCTCCAAACCTCTAAAGTATTCGCGCAAAGTGAGTGAGATGAGAAAACGAGTGAAAACCACAGAGGATGGTGTGGAATTCTCTCAATTTCGCACATGACATCATGAAAGCAAACTCGGATCTTTTTTCGCGGGTGAGAGTTGAGTGAGGTGGCTTACTTGACGAATTCCTTGAGCGGTTCCATCAACCCGGACTGCGCCGCGATAAAAGAGATGGTTGTGCTTTCTCCGCCTGGAATGATGAGAGCATCGCAGCTCCGGAGCTCTGCCTCGGTGCGGACCTCGATAGCAATGATTTCGGGTCTCGGGCTTGGCACCGAAGACTCGGCCGTAGCGAGGTAGACGGCGGCCTTCCGTACGAGCTGGACATGCTCATGAAAGCCGCCTTGAAGAGCCAGAACGCCAATCGTGAGAGGAGACATTTTGAAAAGTGTGTTGTAAAGTTCAACGCTCTGAGGCTGGTGGCGTTCAGCAGGGTTCCTGAGGATGATGGGTAGTAATAGAGTCGCAAAGGATTCCGAAAGTTGTGTTTGAGTCATTTACACAGACTCTGAACGAATGAAGTCGGACACCACGCCCCGGACCGGCGAAGAGCAGCAAAAGATCGTAGGCTATGCGCGCAAGATAATTAGGAGAACGGGGATTTGGGGGTTGCTTCGTCGGCCTTGGCGATAACAGCTTCGTTGAAGACCCTTGCTAGCTAAAGTAAGGTACTTTATGTCGCCCGTACTGCAGTAATCGGCGGTTTAGTCAGTGAGGTTGGCTGGCAGCCCATGTAACGGTGGGCTTAGCAGTAGTTCGCCGCCGACTCGCTCCGCTGTAGGTAGTCCACAGGTTGTAGACCAGGAATGTCCCGTCTGCTTTGGGCGCAAAGGGCGTAAAGGGCGCGGGACTGTTCGATGTCAAGACGCGAGATCCATGCAAATGGTGTTATACTACTTCGTAGTTGATGTCAATGACGGGCGGAGCAACGGGACAGGGAAAGGCGTCCGTCAGATGGAGGCACGGATGATGGGACTGCAGCGGCGGCGGCGAGAGAAGATTCCATGCATACGGAGCTTGTTCCAGCTTGACTCTGCAGCTCGGGCGGAACAAGATGGGGCGATCTGGGTGTTGTCCCGCGCGGAACAGACTCGAAGGGAGCGGCAGGGCGGGTGTGTTGGAAGGGGGGCCGAGGGGCATCGCTCGGATCTACATCCGATGACAACCGCTCTGCTCTCCGCCCGCCCTTCAGTCTTTGGTAACTCTCGCCGCAGTTCGGAGCATGTGTAAGGTCGGTAGAAACTTGTCACCAATTGTGGAGGAAGCATTTGGCTCAGCCGGGTTGCGAGCTACCAGGGTGAGATGCACATTGGTATTACGATTACATACACTATATGCGCGCATTGTCAGAGTGACCCATGATCAAGAGAATATGTCGGGCCACGATCCTTCCACAACACGAACACGTCCCACAGCACGAAACCCTCATCTTTCTCCTTTTCGGGCAATACCAAGTGCAAGGGAAGCGTGTCAAGAGTCCAGACATCTACGTAGAGCTGTATCCCGCCACCCGTTCAAACACCGGTGCGTGGGACTGGGCCGCTCTCCGCACCCGCCACGGTCTACGACTTTGCGCGGGGGGATACTTCGATGACACTGCCATTCCATTAAGGTTGGCCATGTACCGGGTCCCGGAGTAACCGTATCTTGCCTTTCCGAGATCGGGCCCTGGCCCGTCGTAACCCCTCCATGCTCGCTGCTGGTGCCCGCAACCCATCCATCTAACAGAGTCGCAGTCTACGCAGTAGGTTCACCGTATTCATGACTATCTGCAGACTTGCTGGGTGGTAGGCTCGGCCCTAGGGGTACCCTACGGCCAAGTGTCGCCGCCGACTCAGTCGCGGACCACGCGCTGCTTTGCTCGGCTCACCTAGGCGGAGGGGTTTTGTGTACCACCACCGTTCAGTCTTGTTCTCCAAGCAGATGGAAGCGATCCGCGGGAAAGACGGGATGACTCGGTACAGCAGAAGTGTAAAAATTTTCTCTCTCTCTCTCTCTTCGTCCAATCTTGGATCCCTCGCTGGACATGCCGTGTCATCATCGAAGTTATTGTCTGCCGCCATATACATATTTGCCCCCCCCTCCCATTCACATCTCACACTTGAGACCCCTTTTCCCCGGATTTCATGACATACAACCAGACCCATCGTGAAGCGGAGCATCTTGAATCTTCGTTAACCATTTTGAGGCCCTCCTTTCTCTCTGATTGATTGAAAAAAGATACCCCTCACTCCCAGAGCCGTTCTATTCCCGTCTCTTTCACTCAGACCTTCTGTACCATCCCACCTCACAACCTCTTCGACTCACTATTATCGCTCATCTCATAGCGATTCAGCCTTCTCAAAGATACCCCCGAAAAGTCTCTATTCAACTCATATCACAATGACCAACAGCGACGCAACCAAGCCTAACGGCACCAACGGCGATGCCAAGAACACGTTCGCCGTCAAGGCCGGACTCGCCCAGATGCTCAAGGGAGGTGTCATCATGGATGTGACCGACGCCGCCCAGGCCCGCATCGCCGAGGAGGCCGGCGCCTGCGCCGTTATGGCCCTGGAGCGCGTCCCGGCAGACATCCGCAAGGACGGCGGCGTCGCCCGCATGTCCGACCCTGCCGTCATCAGGGAGATCCAGAACGCCGTCACCATCCCCGTCATGGCCAAGGCCCGCATCGGTCACTTTGTCGAGTGCCAGATCCTCGAGGCCCTCGGCGTCGACTACATTGATGAGA